CCTGTGTTGTCTGTTATCCAATATCAAAAGCATTTATTTTATTTAATCTATAAGTCTGGTTTTGTAGTTATGCTGGGAAAGCAAGTCTAGTTCAATGACTCTGTTGTGGCCGGTGGTAAGAGTCTTTCTTGTCCCTTCATCATTTTTCTTTTTTTTTTTTAGATTTTATTTATTGATTTGACAGAGATTACAAGTACACAGAGAGGCAGGCAGAGAGAGAGGAAGGGAAGTAGGCTCCCTACTGAGCAGAGAGCCCCATGCAGGGCTCGATCCTAGGACCCTGGGATCATGACCTGAGCCGAAGGCAGAGGCTTTAACCCACTGAGCCACCCAGGTGCCCCTTTCATCATTTTTCTAATTGAGGTAAAATTCACATTAAAAAATATTAATCATTTAAGAGCATACCCTCAGGGCGCCTGGGTGGCTCATTTGGTTGAGCATTAGACTTGGTTTCAGCTCAGGTCTTGAACTCATGGGTTGTGAGATTGAGCCCCTCACCCCTACCCCACATTCTCTAACCCTCCCCATTGCACCCCCTGTTGGGCTCTGCGCTCAGCAGGGAGTCTGGTGGAAGAGTTTCTCCTTCTGTCCCTCCCCCCACACTCACGCAACTGCCCTCTCTCTCTCTCTGTCTAAAGTATATCAGTCGTTAAAAGTATACTCTTACATCAGTTTTTATTTTTTAAAGATTTATTTTTTATTTATTTGACAGAGAGAGAGAGATCAGAAGTAGGCAGAGAGGCAGGCAGAGAGAGAGAGAGGCGGAAGCAGGCTCCCTGCCGAGCAGAAAGCCCGATGCGGGGCTCGATCCCTGGACCCTGAGATCATGACCTGAACCGAAAGCAGAGGCTTAACCCACTGAGCCACTCAGGCGCCCCTTACATCAGTTTTTAAATCAACTTTCAGAATGTTCCAGATTCTTCCTATTTTGTCAGATATTTATGGGGGGTTTTTTTGGTTTTTTTTTTTTAAGATTTTATTTATTTATTTGACAGACAGAGATCACAAGTAGGCAGAGAGGCAGGCAGAGAGAGAGGAGGAAGCAGGCTCCCCGCTGAGCGAAGAGCCCAATACAGGGCTCGATCCCAGGACCCTGGGATCATGACCCGAGCGGAAGGCAGAGGCTTTAACCCACTGAGCCACCCAGGCGCCCCAGATATTTATGTTTGATCAAATAAAATGTTTTAAAGGATTTGGAGTGAGAAGCTTTCCCATGTAAGGCTTGAGTTAGTAAAACAGAGCATCAGTATTCTCTTTTCCAGAGAGTTTCACTTACCTGAATGGACTCAAATTGGTTTCTTTTTAATATGTCAAGAACACAGAATCCTGTATATGATAAGTTATATTATACATTACATTTTAAGCTGATAAAGAACAGCTGATGGGCTTCTTGGATGAAAGTAAATCCTCAAGGGGCTGCCTGGGTGGCTCAGTGGGTTAAGCCTCTGCTCAGGTCATGATCTCAGGGTCCTGGGATTGAGTCCCGCATCGGGCTCTCTGCTAGGCAGGGAGCCTGCTTCCTCCTCTCTCTCTCTCTCTCTCTCTCTCTGCTTAAAAAAAGAAAAAAAGAAAGAAAGAAAGAAAGTAAATCCTCAAAATAAATAAATAAAAACAAGGGGACCTAGGAGCGCCTGGGTGGCTCAGTGGGTTAAAGCCTCTGCCTTCAACTCAGGTCATGATCCCAGGTTCCTGGGCTCGAGCCCCACATCGGGCTTTCTCCTCAGCAGGGAGCCTGCTTCCCGCCCTCCTGCTTGCCTCTCTGCCTCCTTGTGATCTCTGTCTGTCAAATAAATGGATAAAATCTTTAAAAAAAAAAAGGGGGGGGGGCTGATGAAGGATAACCTCTTTGGGAGCAAAGAATAGGGGGAAAAAAAGTTTGATTAGTACCCTTTATTCCAAGCATGGTATTTTATTATGCTTCTAAAACCATGCTTGATTTTTCATATTTGTACATCTTTTGTTCTGTTGCTGTTTCTTCTGTTGAGATATCCATTATGGTGATTGAGTGCTCTCCCTCCTCTTTAAGTTGTGAGTCCTGCCTGCTGCCTTAGTCATCTTTACTGGGAGGGAAGTCTGACTCATTTTGTGGTATTAAGAAAAAAAAATCCTAAAAATTGTTGAAGTTGTCATATTTTCTCAGTCTCTGTTTTTGTTAGAACCATTGCAGCGAACTTGAGGAAGTAATCTCTAGGGATAAATGTGTGAGTTGGCTTGAGGGAGTTTTCCAAAAGATGAAGCTGTGGAGAGATCTAGGACTTGAAAACTGGGCCGGCACTTGGGGCTTAGAATGTTTCTGGTAGTGGAGATCAACGCAAGAAACTGGGGATGTGAGGGGTGTGATATGAAGGATCGCATGGAGCAGGAGAGCCCTGTAGAGGAGGTGCTGGGGAGGAAGATGGCTCAGAATTCAATTAGGTTGAAGTCAGACATGAGATGCCTCTCGGTTTGGTGAGTGATTCTTATTTTTTGGAGGGGACAGAATCAGAGAACTTATGTATGAGAATAGACAAGCCACATTATAAAGAGTTTAATCTGTCAAAATTGGAACTGTGAAGTCAGATATAAAGGTAAATTCTCTGTACTGTCTAGGTAGATATCTGTCTAGTTAGAATGCATTAAAACTTTTTTGTTTTTGAAATCATTTGTCCATATTTTGAAAGTTGCAGTGTATTAATATGTATGTTTAGGAGCAAGTAGCATTTGTTTATAATGCCGCGTCTGTTAGGAGTGTCTTAGATTCCTCTGCTACCTGATTGCTACTGAAACACCATCAATACACATCATTCATAATTGTGTGTGAAGTCCATAAATCTAGCGTTTGTTGCTTGTGATCTTCAAGTTAAAAATTTCTTTGTTCCTGGGGTCTCTGGGTGGCTGTCAGTTAAGCCACTGCCTTCAGCTCAGGTCATGATCCCAGGGTCCTGGGATGAAACCCTGCATCGAGTTCCCTGCTCAGAGTCTGCTTCTCCCTCTCCCTCTGCCTGCTGCTCTACTTGTGTTCTCTCTGTATCTCTCTGTCAAATAAATAAATAAAAATCTTAAAAAAAAAATTTCTTTGGCCCTAAAAAAATTTCTTTAGCCCTAGCAAATTTCATCTTTCTTCCCAGTTTGATCCATTCGTACCTTCCAGTCATTCATACATTACATATATTCACATATTAACAAAGGAAAGGTAAAGAAAGCATTGACAAAGACTGCTGAAAACCTCTACTAGGCTCCTAGGAGAGAGAAAAATACAGTTGACCCGTGAATGACACAGGTTTGAATTGTGCAGGTTCACTTCTAGGTAGATATTTTGCAATAAGTACAGGACAGCACTGTAAATATATTTTCTCTTCCTTAAGATTTTCCTTAATATTTTCTCTGTTTTTTATAAGAATACAGTATATTTAAAAAAGAATACAGCATATAATACATATAACATACAAAATATGTGTTAATCAATTGTTAATGTTATGGGTAAGGCTTCTTCCTGCCATCTGTAGGCTGTTGGCAATTAAATTTTGGAGAAGTCAAAAGTTATATGCAGATTTTCACAATAGACCTTGTCTATTGTGAGGAAAACGTGAGTCTCAAGCATACCCTAAAATCCTTAGGACTACTCTATAAACATCAGAAGCGACAAAATGATTTTCAGTTTAATAGTGAGCAGTGGCTGATTGGGCCTTCACATTGCACGCATTAGTCTTTATGGACAGTTCTGGGCCTGGGCCCCAGATGGTGTGGGCAGGTCACGCACAGCAAGGGCTGGGGACTGTGGTGGCGGTGGCAGCAGCCAAAAAAAGAAAGAGTTCTGCAACAACAGCTCTGGTATTTCGGGGCTTAGGGTTTGTTTTTTTCCACCCACATTAGTTTAATATCTTAAGGTTATTTAGAATTTTTTTTTTCATTCAATCCTCATCAGAGTCTATTTGCAGGCCAAGCTGATTTTCCTACAAACTTGTAGGAATGGTTGAAAGGAAAGTTGATGGAAGCCCTGATTAGCAATTGTCCCGCCTAGAATAAATTTTGCGTGTGAATTGTGTATCAGTTTTGGTCAGCTGCCCTGACAGGCTGGGCCAAGATATTTTCCTGCCTGTTAATCAAGGCCCCACAGACAAAGCTCAAGGAAGGATGACCCCTGCCTCAGGAAGTTTTGAATCAGTTGCTATTTATAACCAGTATACAGTAGAACTTGAGATCGGGTCTTTACTCAGTTGATAAGAAAAGTTCTATGCCAAGTTTTACATTTGAGGAAACATTTATGGGCCTAAATGAGTGAAGCCTGTCTGTGAAAGGAAGGACTGTGACAGTGCCTGTAAGTATTTTTGCCGATTTGGGTCAAGGGTGTGGTGGCAGCCATGTGCAAAAGTTCAGTGGGTGACAAAATAAGTTATGATATTTTAAAGCAAAGCGACTGATAGTTAATGGCACATTGGCTTGTCGTTAGCACTGTGCCTATGGAGTCCTGTGCTGCTAAATGGGAAAGTTGAAATAAGGGTATGTTGAAATAAGGGCTAGTATTATCTCCCAACATAGAAGAGGAGGAGGAAATTAGGTATTGATGTGTTTCCAGACTAACTGGATCTTTCTCTGGGTGTATGCATAAGCTTATTAGTTATTTGGGAGGTATTTCTATGTATGTATGCTTTTTATAATACTCTGATGGTTCTTGTTTTGTTAAGAGAAGTTTTCATAAGGAATTGATTTTACAAAATAATATTGTATACTACTATATGTAATCTCTTATAAAACCTCCTTCTATGTAACTTTAGGAAATTAAATAGGGCAGAACATTAAAGCTGACAATTTGAGAAATATCACAAGGTAGTTATTTTCTCTGTGTTCTAGCACCATCTTAGGAATGCCTTTATGGAGTTGAATGATTTAGTGGATGACAAGTATATTTTTACATATGCAGTGTAAATGAATTGTTTAGGGAGAGATAGGCAGTGTTTTAGTGGACTTTAAATTAGGAAATTATAAAACTGTGTTAACATATGATTGTCTCTTTTTAATAGGAATATTCAACATAAAGTTGCAGCCGTTTTCCACAGGATCAGTAATCAAGATTTTTCTTTTTAAAAAGAGATTTCCAGGTTAAAGATGAAAGGAAAATGCCGGAATTGTTTGGATACTAAGTGACAGGATAAAGAGTACGGTATTTCACAGTTACTTATAATGGAGCCTCAGTAAAATCCGTACTTTGTCATGCACCCAACTGGGAACATGGATGCCAGTTTTTCTCGTTCTGCTGTTCAGACACTGTCAAGAAGCCACTGCAAAAACATCAAACAAAAAATTTCTCAGTGGGAAGGTAGAGCTAACGGTATATCTAATCCAGAGAAGTGGCATCCGAAGGACTTTGGAGTGAGATATACTAACTGCCATCAAGAGATTCTTCTTAAGAAAAGTCCTGTTGCTGAGGGAAAGAGCAAAAAGTTGGATATAACCAACTCTCGAAGTGTTGGTCTAGACGTTAATGAAGATGCTAACAGCCACGCTCAAACTGAGGACGAAGGTGGGCAATGCGGATGTGATGACCCACACTTCTTTAGAAATGAATCGGAATCCAACTGGGTATGTTCTAGGGTCAAACAGATCGAAAGCTGGAAAGGGGTTGTTCTGGATCCAGAGACTTCCTTACCTCCAGGAAACTTCTATACTTCCCAGATACTGTGGAAGAAAATAGAAGCACTCCCCCCAGATAAAGTCTTAAATTTGGCTTTAGAACACTGTGACTCTTCAGAAAAAGAAAATTTCAGAATTCTGGATAGTTCATATGGAATAACCAAGAGCTTAGAAAATATTTACTCTGAACCCGAGGGACAAGAATGCAGACCTTCTATAAATCCTTTGCCCAAACCTCGCAGGACATTCAGATATTTATCTGAATCCGGTGTTATGCCATCTAAGGAAAGAAACTGTGACAGAAAATACTGTGAAAATAATTCCTGCACGGAGTCTTCTTTGGCCTCTTGTCAGGAACCTGAACCGGAGAAATACAGCAGAAAAATCAGAGGGAGATCTAAAAGGTGTGTTTTTATTTGCTCCGTAATGATTTCTAAATATTGTCCTTACAGAGATGCTGAGCTGCTTTTCTCTTTTCAAAGCCATTTTCATTTCCCTGCATGGGTTACAGGCCTAGTTTGATTTTACAGATGTTGATTAACCCAAGGGAAAAGTACTTATAAAAGGAAATAATACCTAAGACAATTTGCGGACATAAGAACATCGGGAAAACTTGCATTTTGGATCATGTAAGAATGTGTAGGGAAGTAAGTACGTTCTTCTGCTTCATTTAAGACATGGTGGTCTTGGCTTCACTTTTCATCAGAGTGAATTTTATAAAGTTATGCAATAAAGAACGTGAATGTAGTTGACCAAAGGCCTCCAGTTTTCTCATGGCGTATGTAAGGTATCAGCCTAGTTTATTATTCTTAGGTATATGATAAAACACCTTTGTAATTTTGCACGCAAGTCCTTTACTTACTGATTTCTAGCATACCAATATAAAGAACACTAGCGTTTCATTTATTTATTTTTTAAAGATTTTTTTAAATTTATGTATTTGACAGACAGAGATCGAAAGTAGGCAGAGAGGCAGGCAGAGAGAGAAGGAAGCAGGCTCCCTGCTGAGCAGAGAGCCCAGTGCAGGGCTCGATCCCAAGACCCTGGGATCATGACCTGAGCCGAAGGCAGAGGCTTAACCCACTGAGCCACCCAGGCGCCCCAAGAACACTAGAGTTTTAAAACAATATAACTTTAAAACATATCTCCTTTCTTAAGGAAATCCTTTGAATTTGAGGATATTCAGCACTTTCGAAATCGGAGCTCACAGAAGATTCATGAAGAACTTGGAAGAAATTCCGGCTCAGCACTTTATTACACACAGTCGGAGGACAATATTTATGAGGATATCATATGTACGTGTTCACAAACTTTGCAGTTAAATTTAATGAGTATGTATTTGGTGGGGCCCTTAACTGTAGGATGGTATTTTCTTTTATAATCAAGCATATGTTGCTGTAGCTGTTTCTTTTATTTTTTTTTTTAATTTTATGTATTTATTTGACAGAGAGAGACACAGGGAGAGAGGGAACACAAGCAGAGAGAGTGGGAGAGGGAGAAGCAGGCTTCCCGCCATGAGCAGAGAACCTGATGCAGGGTTCGATCCCATGACCCTGGGATCGTGACCTGAGCCAAAGGCAGACAAGCTTAACAACTGAGCCACCCAGGCGCCCCACTGTTGCTTTTAAATATGGAAACTTTTGTCATATAAATTCTTTTATTCTTGAATGGTTTTTGTAGCCAGTTTAGTGGACTGCTGAGTTCAGAAGTAGATGTTTATAGTATATAGTATTTTGAGAATTCTTTTAGTTTGGTGGGATGCCTGAGTGGTTTTCAAGCTTAAAGGGCCAGCAATATAGACCAGGGAGCTGAACATAGTTCTTTATTTCTCCTCCTAGCTGTAGTCCCTTTGTTTCCATTTAACTGTGTTTGTCTAAACTTTGTTTTCCCATTATTTTTCAAGATCCCGCCAAAGAAAATCCCTATGAAGACATTCCAGTGCACCCTTTGCCCATGTGGAGATCCCCTTCGGCTTGGAAGCTACCGCCCCCAAAAAGTGCTTTCAGAACACCAAAGGTAAAACCAAAGGATCAGTATGAGAAAACATTATATGTAATTAACCTAAGAAAACCCAAGATTCTTGTTTGTGATCCCCCAAAAAGGTTAAAGTGGTTTAACTAAGGCCAAGATGAAGAGGCACTGAAATACGGGTCTTGTTGGTAGTGGTGGTTTTTGTGTTCTTTGTGGGGTTTTGGGGGGCAGCACACAACTTTTTGTTTTCTTTCATTTTGGAGTTTCTGTTCACTTACTAGCACTTCAAAAATATGAGATTATGCACACCTTTAGACAAGCCACTAGCTTTTTGTTTCACTGTAGTTACCACAGCTCCCTATTAGTCCCACAACACTCTGTGCCCTAAATTATGTGACTTGTCCCTGAAAGCATTCGTCACCCCCGCAGGCAAAGACTGCCTTGAGTTAATGAGGACTCTGAGTTGTTGTTTTCTGGAAATGTGATGACATCGTTGTAGAACATTGGATTAGAAACCTGAGAAATGACTTTACAAATGGGGAAAAAGAAATTCTGGTATACTCAACTGAGGTGACTTTAAAGACGAGAGATGTGTTTTTCTGAGATAACTTGACCTTGATACATTGTCATTCCCTACACAATCTTACCCTTACCAGTACATCTTCTCCTGTTTTAGCTTCCTCCCAAACCTCAGTTCCTCAACCGGAAGACTATGGAACTGAAGAGCTCCCAAGCTTATTTACGGTCAAAGCTCACAAAGGATACCACTTTGCCTGTCACTTTAACTGAATGGAAGCTTTTCCGAGCTGGAGAAGTTGCAAACAGGAAGAGGAAAAATCTTCCAAGGGTAAGGACTCTAGTACTTTCATTCTTTGACCCTTACTTTGTTTCCATAAATGAGAATAAATACACTTTAGACTGAAATGAATAATAGGTTAGAACTGATCTACTGGAGGGGCACCTGGGTGGCTCAGTGGGTTAAGCCTCTGCCTTCAGCTCAGGTCATGATCTCAGAGTCCTGGGATGGAGCCCTACATCGGGCTCTCTGCTCAGCAAGGAGCCTGCTTCCCCCTCTCTCTCTGCCTGCCTCTCTGCCTACTTGTGATCGCTCTCTCTGTGTTAAATAAATAAATAAAATCTTAAAAAAAAATAAAAATAAAAAGGACTGATCTACTGGAATGAGAAGATTTGGAAAGCAGCCTTAAAGTTTAGGTTTTTGCTCATGCAAGAAAAATGCATGAGTGCCTTTTGCCAGGGCTTTTTTATGGATTTGGAAAATTGATTTTAGATGGAAGGTTTCACTTCAGTTACCTTAGTTCTCATTAAAATCAGCTGCTTGTTTCAAGGAAGCACTAGAATCTCATGTAAGAGGACATTCTGTTAAGCTGGCTTCAGTGTTGTTCTTTTCTTTCTTTTTTTCTTTTTTTTTTTTAAAGATTTTATTTATTTATTTGAGAGAGAGAGAGAGTGCATAAGCTGGAAAGGGGCAGAGGGAGAGAGAGAAGCGGACTCCCCGCGGAGCAGGGAGCAGGGCATGGGGCTCCATCCCAAGACCCTGGGATCATAACCTGAACCAAAGGCAGACGCTTAACCAACTGAGCCACCCAGGCGCCCCAGTGCTGTTATTTTCACTCACTCATTTAGTTGCTGAAGTGAACAGTTTTGTGCCTGAGTTTACAGATTTTCAGTAATCACAAAGTATATGCCTTTAATTTGGGGCAAAATTTTCCATTTGGGGGAAGAAGAAAGAAATTTGACTCTTGCTTGGGAATAGAAATTATCAGCAATTACATTAAATAAAGATTTTTCTCTCAAGGGAGAAAAGGCAGTAAATCTAAGCCATCTCAGACAGAGCTATTAGAACCAAAATGAAGAAATTGGGATTATTTGTAAAGAGATACATATTTTTTTAAGGAGAGACACTTAAGAAAGTGCATGAAAATATTTTTAAATTCTTTGTTACTTTGTTCTTCTATAATTTAGAATGTTTTCAGGATAACTCTGCAGAAATGAAAAAAAAAATCAGATCACTTAAATAGTATTCCTTCCCTTAATCCCATATGAATGAACTGCATGTGTCCATTTGGCGCGCAGTTTTTGTACCTGATTTTAACATTAAACAAAATTCCCAGCTGTTTTTTGGTTTAGTAACTGCTGATCGGTTCCTTGGGAAATATTCTGTTCCACAATACTTTAATTCTTCTGATCTATTTCCTGCCCCTCCCTCTTTATTATGTGAACAGTTAAAGACACACGGTTCTAAAAAAGCACCAAACACATCTCTCTCAGTGAAAAAAAAAAAAGCAAACCTCTTCAGCTGTTTACTCTCCTGCATATGGTGAGGAATATGTAAGAATCTGATGTTTAAAGAATGGCTAGGCTTTCTAGAGTAGTTCTGTCCTCTGATCTGTCATGCCGGCACAACAAAGCAGCCTCCTGCATGGCCCGGAGACAACAGAGAATGTGTTCACAGGGGCGAGAGTACAAACACAGAAGGGACTGCATTTAAGACATGATTCTCAGAATGACATTAACAAATATTTGGGAGTAATGGATTGTAGATTTCAGTGAGACCGATGGAAATTTGCAGTGCTTTTAATATCATGCCTCGGTGTTTTAGGTACTGTGGATCCCCAGGTACTCAAAGCTCTTTCTCTTCCTAACTTGGGTGATGTGATCCAGCTTTTCCTTTTCTAGTTATTTCCAAAGGCCTTTGGAGAAGTGAGGGGGGGAAATGTGGTGATGAATCCTTGATGACCAGGCAGGAATAAGCTATTAGCCACCCTCCTTGGATTAAATCCTTTTAGGATGTTCTATTTGCAATACAAAATTTTGACTTTTGAGTATCTTCAGCCACAGCATTCCATGAGGAAAGCAGTTTTCATTTACTTCCCCTTTGATGACTAGAACTATCCCAGGAAGGAAAACCGGTTTCATAGTTTGAAAATCACTGATCTAGTCCATATGCCTCTTCCCCACCCTTCCTTTCTTTCCCTACTGTGAAAGCCTGTGTGGGATTGTTTCCTAGAGTAGATTTCCCAAGGTCTCATATTATTCGTGTCAACTGTGTATAGCAGTATGGTTTCTGTCATTTCGTTGGAAGAATATTCTATAATACTTCCTGCTGTACCCTACAGTATTTACTGGAAGATAAATGTAGGCTCCTCTTCCTAACTCATAAGCAAAATTACAATTTTATTACTTTATCTCGTGTTTCTAGAACAGACAGTTCCCTTTCCTTTATAATATTTGAGTCTCCTTTTGAGTATTCTTTTCAAATACTGATTACTAATTACACTATTTTTAGGGCTGCCTGGGTGGCACAGTCAGTTAAGTGTCTGACTCTTGGTTTCAGCTTGGGTCATGCTCTCAGGGTCATGAGATTGAGCCACATGTCAGGCTCTGCGCTCGGCATGGCATCAGTTTAAGATTCTCTCTCCCTCTCCCTCCCATCCCACCCCTAGAGAACATGCTTTTTCTCTCTAATATAAGTACATAAGTCAATCTTAAAAAAAAGAAATAATTACACTGTTTTGGTATGTCTCCAAAATACATGTTTGCTCTCATATGTCTTTCCTATAGCCCCTAACAATATCTTTTTATGTTGAATTCTCTTATTTTTTTAATAATGGTAATATTTAAGAACACTGGTAATTTTTCACTTGAATGGCAGCTATAAAATCTTTAAAAGAATAAACTCATCCAGAAATGTGGGAATAATCTGCATATTGGAAGCACATGTTTCTCACATGTTATTTTTCTTGCTCTGGGCTGATTCACTGCCTGTGGATTGCCAGGATTGCTAGAGAAACAAGGACAAAAGAGAAAACAGGAACATTTTTCTCAAGCAAATTTGTTGGTTCTTATGTTCCTAACAGTTGTAATTCTGGGCGTTAAATATGTTAAATCAGGATTAATGATTAAAGAAAAGCTTGGAATTTTAAGAAAGAGAGAGAAATATGCATGGAAAACTAATGAATTCCTTCTTTCATTTCTTTTTAAGTGTATTTACCTAAGCAATCTCTACACCCATGGTGGGGCTCAAACACAGGCTCCACAGACTGAGCCAGCCAGATACCCCAAATTCCTCCTTTTAAAAGTGACTGTTCATCAGCTTGATTTTTTTCTCTCTTTTAAAAAGATTTTTGTGGGGGCGCCTGGGTGGCTCAGTGGGTTAAAGCCTCTGCCTTCGGCTCAGGTCATGATCTCAGGGTCCTGGGATCGAGCCCCGCATCGGGCTCTCTGCTCAGCAGGGAGCCTGCTTCCCTCTCTCTCTGCCTGCCTCTCTGCCTACTTGTGATCTCTCTCTCTCTGTCAAATAAATAAAATCTTTAAAAGAATAAAAATAAAAATAAAAAATAAAAAGCTTTTTTTATTTGAGTTTTGTTGACACATCTTTCCTTTTTTTTAAAACCTACTCTGTGTGCATGTCTGTCTTTCTCTTACACGGCAGCAAAGAAAAAAATTCCAAGTGATGCTTACTAAGTAGAACCTGCTTTTTATACTAAAGTATATTTGAGAGCCTCCTATTTTTAGAATGTTTCTAAAATAAATTATAATATTAGTGCTCCCAGTAGCAAAGAGAGTATTTGCTTTGACAAAAACTTTGTCAACATGATTATTTTCTTTTGCAAAGAATTCCTGGGAACAGAAATAACTGAGCCTTACCCTGACTTCCAAGTGGAATGAGTATTCTTCTTCCTACTCTGGGCGATAGGGAAGGCTTGGTCAACAAGTAGAATGCAGTAGGCAGATTTCTTGCATCTGTGACATAGAGTGACAAGGAATGTCTCTAAGAGCCTGTGCTGGATTCTGCTGGAAATGACATACCCTTTCCTCCTTCTCTTACCCATGTTGTATGGACTTTGTATTAGAACAACATATCATCTTGATAAAGATCACTTTAGTTTCAAAATTTTTAAAATGTGAAGGGTTTTATTTATAAAATGGATCTTTCTCTGAATGAGAATCACTAGTTAATATCATCAGAACTTGGTATTGAATCTTTAAAAAGAAAAAGTGGGGGCGCTGACTGGTTCAGTCAGTGGAATGTACAATTCTTGATCTGGGGTTGTGAGTACCAGCCCCAAGGTAAGTGTAGAGATCACTTAAAAATGAAATCTTTAAAAAAAAAACAAAAACAAAACAAAAAAAAGAACAAGTTGGTGTTGGTTTTAACTTGTACTTTTTTGGTCTTTTTTCAGCTTGTATTGAAAATCGCTGACATATTTGAATCTAAGAGAGGGAAAAAGAGGGTAAAGTTACATCCATACACTGGAAAAGATGTACCTCCCTCAAAAGGTAAGAATTGTTCCTGATGTCCAGAGCTATCAGGATTTGAAGGGAAAATCACATAACTTAATGTCTATGTGATTATAGTTTTTGATGTACTTTCCTACCCCACTTCAGTATAACTTTTTTTTAAAGATTTTATTTATTTATTTGACAGAGAGAGAGACAGCGAGCAGGGGGAGTGGGAGAGGGAGAAGCAGGCTTCCCACAGAGCAGGGAGCCCGATGCAGGGCTCGATCCCAGGACCCTGGGACCACAACCCAAGCCGAAGGCAGGTGTCCGACCAACTGAGCCACCCAAGCGGCCCTCAATATAACTTCTTTAGGATAAGGGATTATTTCTGTTCTTCCTCAAATCCCTTTTATTTAGTTCTGTGGCAAGTAATGACAACGTAAAAAAATTAAATAAGTTTAAAAATATTAGAAGCCAGTAAGACTGATTTTCTTTAAAAAAAAAAAAAAAGACTAATCTTCATAGGCAGAGCATATCATTATTTTGTAATCCTACTTTGATTTATAGTCATTTATCAGTATTGACCCTTTAATGGAGAAATGAGCATATTAGATATATACAGACTACAGGTGTGTCGTGCTCAACTGATAATCATCTACTCAGCTCAGTAGTTTTATCAGTCAGATGCCTAGAGAAAATTTACATTTTTTTAAGATTTTTTTAATTTTCAGCATAACAGTATTCATTGTTTTTGTACCACACCCAGTGCTCCATGCAGTCCGTGCCCTCTCTAATACCCACCACCTGGTTCCCCCAACCTCCCACCCCCCCCCACCTCTTCAAACCCTTCAGATTGTTTTTCAGCGTCCATAGTCTCTCATTGTTCACCTCCCCTTCCAATTTCCCTCAACTGCCTTCTCCTAACTCCCCATGTCCTCCATGCTATTTGTTATGCTCCACAAATAAGTGAAACCATATGATAATTGACTCTCTCTGCTTGACTTACTTCACTCAGCATCATCTCTTCCAGTCCCGTCCATGTTGCTACAAAAGTTGGGTATTCATCCTTTCTGATGGAGGCATAATACTCCATAGTGTATATGGACCACATCTTCCTTATCCATTCGTCCGTTGAAGGGTATCTTGGTTCTTTCCACAGTTTGGCGACCGTGGCCATTGCTGCTATAAACATTGGGGTACAGATGGCCCTTCTTTTCACTTCCTCTGTATCTTTGGGGTAAATACCCAGTAGTGCAATTGCAGGGTCATAGGGAAGCTCTATTTTTAATTTCTTGAGGAATCTCCACACTGTTCTCCAAAGAGGCTGCACCAACTTGCATTCTCACCAACAGTGAAAGAGGGTTCCCCTTTCTCCACATCCCCTCCAACACATGTTGTTTCCTGTCTTGCTAATTTTGGCCATTCTAACTGATGTAAGGTGATATCTCAATGTGGTTTTAATTTGAATCTCCCTGATGGCTAGTGATGATGAACATTTTTTCATGTGTCTGATAGCCATTTGTATGTCTTCATTGGAGAAGTGTCTCTTCATGTCTTCTGCCCATTTTTTGACATGATTATCTGTTTTGTGTGTGTTGAGTTTGAGAAGTTCTTTGTAGATCCTGGATATCAACCTTTTGTCTGTACTGTCATTTGCAAATATCTTCTCCTATTCCGTGGGTTGCCTCTTTGTTTTGTTGACTGTTTCCTTTGCTGTGCAGAAGCTTTTGATTTTGATGAAGTCCCAAAAGTTTATTTTGGCTTTTGTTTCCTTTGCCTTTGGAGACATATCTTGAAAGAAGTTGCTGTGGCTGATATCGAAGAGATTACTGCCTATGTTCTCCTCTAGGATTCTGATGGATTCCTGTCTCACGTTGAGGTCTTTTATCCATTTTGAGTTTATCTTTGTGTACGGTGTAAGAGAATGGTCGAGTTTCATTCTTCTACATATAGCTGCCCAGTTTTCCCAGCACCATTTATTGAAGAGACTGTCTTTTTTCCACTGTATATTTTTTCCTGTTTTGTCGAAGATTAACTGACCATAGAGTTGAGGGTCCATATCTGAGCTCTCTATTCTGTTCCACTGGTCTATGTGTCTGTTTTTATGCCAGTACCATGCTGTCTTGGTGATCACAGCTTTGTAGTAAAGCTTGAAATCAGGTAACGTGATGCCAAAAGATGGAAGACCATTCCATGCTCTTGGATCGGAAGAATAAACATTGTTAAAAATGTCTATACTGCCTAGAGCAATCTATACTTTCAATGCCATTCCAATCAAAATTCCACTGGTATTCTTCAAAGAGCTGGAGCAAATAATCCAAAAATTTGTATGGAACCAGAAGAGACCCCGAATCACTAAGGAAATGTTGAAAAACAAAAATAAAACTGGCGGCATCACGTTACCTGATTTCAAGCTTTACTAAGATTTTTTTTTAATTATGTATTTATTTATTTGACAGAGAGAGAGAGAGATCGCAAGTAGGCAGAAAAGCAGGCAGAGAGAGAGGGAAGCAGGCTCCCCGCTGAGCAGAGAGCCCGATGTGGGGCTCGATCTAGGACCCTGAGACCATTACCTGAGCCGAGGGCAGAGGCTCAACCCATTGAGCCACCCAGGCACCCCTAAAGATTTAATTTTTTTATTTTAGGGAGAGCATGAGTGGGAGGGGCAGAGGAAGAGGGAAAGAGAATCTCAAGCAGGCTCAGCGCTGAGCGCAGAGCCTGACATGGGGCTTTATCTCAACCCCCTGAGATCACGACCTGAGCGGAAACCAGCAGTGGGATGCATAACCGACTGTGCCACCCAGGCGCCCCAAAACTCATCTTACTTAATCAAGAAACTTTCAGCATCCATAGTGAGTTATTAGAATTTCATATAGACTCATGCAAGATTCTCAACTTGGCTGTCTGGCAAAGAATATGTAGAATTTAGCAATTTTTGTCAAGTGGGAAACAACAGCCAAGTCATACCACAGAAGAAAGTTTCCTATTTTTGCAGACATCCAAAGACAGCAATTTCTTAATTTCCCTTGAAAACCTATCCTGCATTCCAACAATTACTATCTGAAAATAAAATCCTCCATGCTGCAATTTAAGACTCTTTTCTTCTTACTCTAAAATCAACTAGGCACCATTTTAGATACAAGTGTTCATATTTTTTTCCAGTTTTCATATTTTCAAAAGCAGTTATCAAAACATGTTAAAAAAAAAATGTTCCAGTCGTCTCTTCTGCAGAAAAAATAATTTTGGTTATTGTGACTCATAGGTGCCTTTTACAGAATGCAGTATTAGTTTTTCTACACCCTTTATCTCATGGACAACGTGCGACAACACGAGGAGGCAGGGACTATCCTAATTTTATAGAGGAAGGAGCCGAGCCAGAGGAGGAAATGTCTGTTTGAGGGAAGGAGCATGGGACCATGAAATCTTATCCTTTATTATCACTAACAGTTACTCTCAGTTTTTCTCATAACCCTTGATTTTTAGCAGTTTATTTCTTCTCCATGTGTATCTTTTATCCTCAACAAGGATATTGTCAAAGGCTTTGTGTTTGTGTAGTTCGGAACTAGATACAGAAGATGAAAACTGATGCCAGTTACCATGCTGGACCCTTTCAGACACACTCTCATTAGTTTTCTCAACAGCCCTATGTGGCAGATGTTATGTCACTGTTTCTAGATAAGGAAATACATTGTAAATTTCAGGTTATGTAAAATTTCAGGATACTGGGGCCCGGACAAATTCTCAGAGAACTTTACCATTTTCTCAGACTAATAGCAGTCTTCTAACAAGTCTACTGTCAAGGGATACTGCTGAATGGACTCTCACTGAGCTCTTATTCTGTTTGTATGCCTTATTGATGCCTTAAGGATTAGGAATATTCTAGTAGATTTCACTCTAAGATAAGTTTTTGAAGAGCCAAACCCTTTTTTTTTTTTTTTTTGCTGTATCATTATTGAAAAAAAAATTCAACAGCATGAATGGCGAACTTCTAATAACCAAAAAAACAAAAAAGAAAGGAGCACTCTTCCCCACAACTGCATTTTTCTTTTGCATGGCTCGAAGAAAATACGCATTTACCCAGTCTCTGGGACCAGGTCCTCTAGTGGGTCTGAGGAATTTCTCTCATGCCTGAGGATCTCCTGGCTCCCTATTCACATTCTCACATTTTTTGTTTTCCTCCCTAAGCTCTTGTCTGTAGATCAACAATGACTAGTAGAACCAGATAATTATATTTACCTACTCTGTCAGTACATGCTAAGTTTTACTGAATCTGTTCCAACCTAAACGTTTCTTAACTTTTAGTTATCAGCTCTTACAAAATGATTTATTGCCCTTCTCCAACTCTATCATTATAATTTTGGTGTTGAAGTCACATATAAAAAAAGGGACAACCTCTCTCTTTTTTGATCCCTACAGATTCTCAGTAGATTTTCCTATTTGCCTTATAAACCCCTTCACCTTCATTCAGTGTCTTGGAAAGCAGATCATCAAAACCTACAGATGTGAATGTATTAAAGCTATCTAAATGAGCTTTAGTAGGGTCTTTTTCCATTGTATTACCTGTCCTTCCTTTCCCCTTTCTTTTTCTCTCTCTCCAGACCCTTAATAGGCCCCTAAGAAGTGTCTGATGCTAAGGACACAAACAGGACTCAGGAGCTCACAGTGTTTGTTCCTTCATACTAAGTAATGCTTCCTAGCTCCGTTATGCTTTCTATCATGGATAATTTGAAGTTATAAAGCCTGTGAGATAGTAGCTATGCTTGCAGTCATCAGAGCATAATGTATGCACTTGTCAAATCACTGTATTATACACCTGAAACTAATGTAACAGTGTGTGTCAACTATACCCAAATCAAAAAAAAATTGGGGATGTCTAACTGGCTCAGTCAGTAGAGGGTGTGACCCTTGTTCTCAGGGTCATGAGTTCAAGCCCCACACTGGGTGTGGAGCCTACTTTAAATAAATTAATTTAAAGATTTTTTTTTTAAACAACAACAAAAAAAAGGTGCCCGGCTGGCTCAGTCAGTGCCTGGCTCTTGATCTCCGGGTCATGAGTTCAAGTGCCATGTTTGGGCATAGTTCCTACTTAAGAAAAAAAAAAAATCGAACCTGCCGAAACCCATACAGTAAATAATATTTAAATAGTTCCTTTTTCTGTTATATCTCTTATGAAGAAGCAGCATTTTTTAACATTCTCTTATTCCTTATTATTAAATTTAAATGAATATAGCAAGAAATTATAATAATAAACCTCCCAAACATCCTAATTGCTCCCAGAAAATTTTATGCACATGTAGCTGTTTTTCTACCCAAATAATTTTTTATACCATTGAGACTTTGTATATCTTGCTTAAAACAAAAAGTGATATATTTCAGAACTCTTTCAGTACCAACACATGGAGATCCACGTAGCTGTACTACAGTTCATTGTATGGATGTAGAAGGATTTTATTTAAGCTGGTAGACATTTTGATTGTTTCATATTTTTTTAAAAGATTATTTGAGAGAGAGAGAACAAGTGGGTGTGGGAAAGGGAGAGGGAGAGGGAGAAACAGACTCACCTCTGAGCAGAGAGCCCAACTCGGGGCCCAGTCCCAGGACCCTGGGATCATGACCTGAGCTGAAGGCAGACAGCCAACAACTGAGCCACCCAGGTGCCCTGATTGTTTCACATTTTATTTAACCTATGGATTTGAAGGTATATATATATATATATATATATATATATATATATATACATACACACACACACACACACACACATTTTTTTTTTTGCTCTTCAAACAATGCTATGTTATACATCTTTTTGTATATATCTTTGTATATTGGTAAGAATATATCTGTAGGGGGCGCCTGGGTGGCTCAGTGGGTTAAGCCTCTGCCTTTGGCTCGGGTTATGATCTCAGGGTCCTGGGATCAAGCCCCACATCAGGCTCTCTGCTCAGCGGGAAGCCTGCTCCCCACCCCCACCTCTGCCTGCCTCGCTGCCTCCTTGTGATCTCTCTCTCTCTGTCAAATAAGTAAAATCTTAAAAAAAAAATACATCTGTAGAATAAGTTCTAGCAGTGGACTTAACCAGAAAACATGTACATCTAATATTTTTATAACCGCTGTCAGATTGTCCCACACACTGTAACTCCTTACATTTCTATGAACAGCATTGAAAAATGACATTCTTCTCATAGTTTTCACTAATACTGTGCTGTATAAAGCTTTTTTATTTTTGCCAATACCATGGTTGAATATTGGAGCTTATTTATTATTTTAGCTTGCTTTTCTTTAATTATAAATTTGGACAGTTATCATGTTAACCAACAATTATAAATCTTTTTCTATGTATTGCTTATACCTGCCCTTTATTCATTTTTCTGTTGTGCTGTAATTTTTCTTAATCATTCATAACAGCTGTTTGAATATGAAGAAATTTATCCTTGTGTCGGCAATGTGTATTATAAATATCTTCCCAGTTCATTGTTTACTTTTCGAATTTAGTAATTTTTTTTATAAGGTAGACACTTCACATTTTTATATAAATAAACTTATATGCATTTTTCATTTATAACTCCTAGCCTTGTTTTTCTTGATACAGAAAGTCCTGCCTTACCAGGTACCTCTTAGGAAACTATGGAAGTGTCTGGAAAGAAAGAAAGGAAAGGGGAAAGGGAGGAAAGTTACAGAAAGATTTTCCCTTTCTGTACCTTTTTAAATTTTGCTTTAACTTTTCCAACTTAATTTAGAAATTTTTCTTTTACTTGTTCAGAAAGCTCTGAGTACTATAAGCAGTCTGAGTACTGTAAGAATTCAGAGTAAAGAACACTGAGTTTGGTCTAGAGGTAGCTTAGAAGCATCATAAAAGAGGTATGGTTCTTCGTAAATGTATGTGGTTATCCCTCTGAGCCCCACATTTTCCTATGACTCTAAATTCATAGTTGGTTCTGTGTTGAGATTTTGATTCAGCCTGGTTGGTGTGTCTACCTTTGGTATCTTATTTGGGAATATAAAAGACAAGGCAAGGAAGGTAGAAATAGAATCTACTCTGAACCAGACTCCATAGAATTAGGGAGGAGCTGGGAGCTGGGGAGGGAGGGTGGGAGAGTGTGGGAAGAAGCCAGGGTGGACAAGTGGCTTCTTGGAGTCGTCTGTTCTCTTTCATGACTGCCCAACCCTGTTGTAACTAAGTGTCTGGAGAAAGGCTCAGCATCCTTAATACTCCCGACTCCCAGGTCTCCAGGTCCATGGAGGCCTTATGCTGTCCCCACCCCCGCGGACTTGCTACTGTTGGACGATACAATAGGAACTCTCTCTCTCTCTCTTCAGGTGAAGCCAGTGGGAACGAAAGTGATGCTGAGTATCTGCCAAAGAGTGAGTGAGTCAACGGGGCTGCTCCCTTTCTTGAGATGATCACGGTCAGGAGTGGAGTGGCAACTTCCTTTGGGATTTAGCACATTTTCCCCACGTTAAACTATTTTGTAGGCGATTTCTTCATTACAAGAACCTGTTGAGATTTGGGGAACTAAACAGTACGCCATCAGATGTTTGACAGCGTTAAAAATCTGCCATGTTGCAATGAGGCAGACAGGCTGGTTCTTAAGATGGAATGTTCTTAGGGGAGCTGTGGGGCTGCGTGTTCAGACATATGTGCGGTAGTTTCCCAGCAGCCAAAACAGAGTGTGTGAATCATCCTCTGAGACAAATACATACCATTAAATATCTGATTTTTCATAGTCATTCACATGTACTTATTTAAGTAACTTCATTATCTCTGACATCAAGACAGGAGACATTGATCTGTTTCTTCTCACAGGCATTTATTTATATTTCAAATTATTGTGCCATTTACTTTCTGTTAGGATATAGAATCTGCCATATGCAATTTTGGCTGTATTTCTTCAAGTACTTCATGATGCTCTGTATCCTTTATCTAATAGGTTTTCACAGCAAATTATAAGTTCCTGTTTAACCAACTGACCGACATACTGAGGCATGGGAAAAGTCAGAGACATGAATTATCCAAGCTGAGGACTGGGCAGTTCCAAGTCTGATACTCTGATCTTATGATTAATAGTCACGTGCTCTCTCTGTTGGCCTGAATCGCTTCAGGTGTTTGATTCAGTAGCCTGACTGAAGGTGAAACTTAAGTCGTCATCAGGTTCAGCCTGCATGTGTAAAAATGACGAATTTAGTGCTATCACTACTGAGAAACAGGACCTAAAATTGTCTTGACTTGAACTGAGACCTTTAGAGTTAAGTAAAGCTTTGCCTATAGCCTAAATATACTGGATAATTCCAGGGAGCCGTCCTGAGATGAATTTTTAAGTGTTCTTAATATTTGATCCATAGTATAACTTTTTGGGGGACAGAATGCATCCTATCTCAAAAGAAAAGCGAACAGTTAGAGACTGCGTCTTTTAATCGTGGCTCAGAATGACATATAATCAAATCTCTGGGACACTTAGACTATTTCTTCTGCAAGTACTGCATTTCCCCTAGAGGAGACTACCCCAGATTGTTCACAATTTAGAGATAAAGGAGAAGAAAGGCTAAATGCTCTCCAGTTTTGTGTGGAATTGCTCATACTATTTAAATATTTAGTATGCTTCCATAATTTCATTCTTTTGAAAACTAGTCCATTAATAGATGTCTTCTGTTGCTTCATTTTTTTCCCTCTTCATTTAGCACCATATGTCGATATAAGCATATGTCCATTATTAGCAAATATTTGCCAAGGAGAGAAGGGAAAAGGACAGTTCTGTTAATGTGAGGATTATTTTTGTTTGAATTTTATCAGACTCATCTCTTCTGTACCTAGCCTCTGTAGGACTCAGTTCTTCTATCAGATATCTCTCTCACACACACACGGCACGAGCGTGTGATTTCATGGTCCTGACAACAGCATCTGTTGTCAGGCTGGTGCTTTCACCTGACATTTTCCACGTATCCCACTGTTGTGTCATGAAAGATGGGACAGCACAGGAATATGTGTTGGGTCACACGTAGCGTATGGGTGGGGATGGGGAATGTTTGAGCCCTCCCAGGTCTGTCTGTATGGCCGGCACTGGGTAGGCAGCCCACAGTTGGCAGTGACCGAGTGAAGAGTAGTCTATAGGGTTCATGAACCGAGGAAAAACCACGCTCCCTGGTTTCATTGCAGATCGCCACAAGCGCTTAGCACAATTGCAACAGTCTTCCAAGAGGAATCCTCACTACCAGACCTTGGAGAGGGATCTCATTGAACTACAGGAGCAGCAGCTCTTTGAACTTTTTGTGGTGGTGTCTCTCCAGAAGAAGCCATCAGAAATAAGCTACATCCCCCAGGTCATACAGCAGTTCCCTAGCAAGGTAGGTGCAAGGAGACCCAAGAGCCATTCGGGAATGTTCTTGCGTCTCTGTGTGTATTTTATTTCCTCTCTTCTTTTGATTGTGGTCTGAAGCAGCTTTTACTACTACTGTACCTCTTGTGGGATCTGGTAGGTGACTCTGAGGACATCTCCTGTCAGGCCTGAGCTACAAATGAAGGCCACAAAAGCTCACTATCCAAGTTTTCTAGTTTTTGCTCTGCTGTTTACTAAGTACCCTTTAGCAAGTTGCAAAGCCTCAGTTTTCTTGTTCTTAATGGGGGAAGTGATAAATATGGCAGAATAGGGTAGCAGTTTAGAGCTAACTCTGCACCTGCCACTTATTAGCTCCATGACCTTGAGCCATTACAAACTGCTCTGTGCCTTGGTTTCTTCATTTGTAAAATGGAAGTAATCATAATAGTGTCTATCCCACTGAGTTGTAGTGAGGATTAAATGAGCCGTATAAGGCACTTAGAAGAGTGTCTAGCATATAGTCAGCACTATAGAATGTTATCCTTTATTCGTGAGCATTTAATGAGATAATATATGTGAAGTGCTTAACACAGTTCCTGGCACATAGTAAGCACTTGATAAATGGTATCTGTTATTAACAATATTCTTTGGGTTTTTTTCCCTACCTTATGCCTGAGGGAGCATAAGATTAAATAGCAAATAGAAATCCCACTAGAGGTTGAAAGACTCTAGAAGAAAGGAAAAAGTTTTATATTTTATTTTCTATTTAATTTTTCCTGCTTTTTGAACAAGGGGCCCACAGTTTGATCTTGCTTTCTGCTCTGCAGATGATGTAGCTGGCCTCGGTAAGGAGTACTTTCGCACAGGGACACTGACTCACGCGCCTTCTTACTCCTTGGACCCCGCCTCTCATTTACGTTATCTGCTCAGCTGCTTTAGGACCTGAGGTTTAAACCCTGAGTTACATGTTTCACCAAAAAAGCTAGTGAAGCCCGATTGTATTGTCATGGAATCAGAGACATTTCCTGCGTGACTTTTCATTAAAAAAAAAAAAAGTGCTTGACAACATTCCTACTGTAAATAAGCCTGTGTTTAATTTCTTATAAAATTCTTCAGTGTAGGGGTGCCTGGGTGGCTCAGTGGGTTGGGCCGCTGCCTTCGGCTCAGGTCATGATCTCAGGGTCCTGGGATGGAGCCCCGCATCGGGCTCTCTGCTCAGCGGGGAGTCTGCTTCCCTCTCTCTCTGCCTGCTTCTCTGTCTACTTGTGATCTCTCTCTGTCAAATAAATAAATAAAATCTTTTAAAAAAAAAAAATTCTTCAGTGTAGCCTGAGAGCACAGTGTCACAACACTGAGCCATAGAAGTCATAATAATGTAATCCAGAGAGTCCTGAGGAATCTGATTTCCCATAAGAGAAGCTCAATTTTTTCTCTATTTTTCCATCAGTCTTACATTTGCTGAGAAAGCTTGAGGTTGAACTTGTTTTCAACAAAGCTGGAATTAAGGGACTCAGAACCAGCTAAAGACCCAGTGTGACTCTGGCAGTGATTCAGGGTTGTTTCTAAGTCAAGTTTCTCAGCATCTTTGTGCATGAGGCTCCTCTGAGTTAAGGTGGGAAAGAGCTGATGAAGTTTCTCCTGATTGTGTTGTGGAGAACCTTAGATGAAGATGATTGTGTGTCATTTAACAATATAAAAATAACAGAATATGAGACGACCAAAATTTTGTGAGAGTGGTTTTCCAGTGGCACCTGGGTGGCTTAGTTGGTTAAGTGTCTGCCTTCGGCTCTGGTCATGAGCCCAGGGTCCTGGGATCGAGCCCTGATTCGGGCTCCTTGCTCAGCGGGGAAGCCTGCTTCTCCCTCTCTCTCTGCTGCTGCTCTCTTTACTTGTGCTCTCTATCTCTCTGTCAAATAAATAAAAATAAAATCTTTTTAAAAAATGAATGCTTTTCTGGGGCGCCTGGGTGGCTCAGTGGGTTAAGCCTCTGCCTTTGGCTCAGGTCATGATCTCAGGGTCCTGGGATCGAGCTCCGCATCAGGCTCTCTGCTCAGCAGGGAGTCTGCTTCTCCCTCTCTCTGCCTGCCTCTGCCTACTTGTGATCTCTGTCAAATAAAGTCTTTTATTTTTTTTAAAGATTTTATTTATTTATTTGACAGAGAGAGATCACAAGTAGACAGAGAAGCAGGCAGAGAGAGAGAGGGAAGCAGACTCCCCGCTGAGCAGAGAGCCCGATGCAGGGCTCGATCCCAGGACCCTGAGATCATGACCCGAGCCGAAGGCAGCAGCTTAACCCACTGAGCCACCCAGGCGCCCCAAATAAAGTCTTAAAAAAAAAAAAATGAATGAGGGGCGCCTGGGTGGCTCAGTGGGTTAAAGCCTCTGCCTTCGGCTCAGGTCATGATCCCGGGATCCTGGGATCGAGCCCCGCATCGGGCTCTCAGCTCGGCAGGGAGCCTGCTTCCTCCTCTCTCTCTGCCTGCTTCTCTGCCTACTTGTGATCTCTATCTGTCAAATAGATAAATAAAATCTTAAAAAAAAAAAAATGAATGCTTTCTATTTCTGATGAGCTTATATTGCAGTGACTCAGAATGGCTGCCTCTTCTGTTTAGTAATTAAATTAAAGGATCTGCTATATTAGTCACATGAAGGTAATATGTTTATTAAGATTATTATCTGATTGTTTTAGTACTACATTTTAAACATCTCTTGGTATAACTAATTTTAGATAGTTCTTTGACATACAATATCAGACTTGCACAGAAGGGTCTTTCTTGCTAGAATTTTATAGGAAGTTGCAAACCAGTAATTAGAAGAGATTATATGCTAAGGGAAATTATTATATATGGGATAGATTCTAAAAGTAGTATCTTTTCTAAGTAACATTCACCTGCCTTTTCGAAACATCTCTGATTATTGATCAGAGAGTATCTGGAGCTAACTGGGTTTTTGCTATCAGCTATTATACCATCAATTTTTATTTGATGTCCTGTGATTCATAAAAATATTGTTTCCACTAGTATGTGAATCCTGAATTAAGATTCTATCTCTAGACTAGAAACTATTTTCAGTCACCTCTCTTGCATCAGATTATAGGATCTTCACAAGTAAACATTTCTATGTAAAAATAAGATTCTTTATTCTTAGTAACTCTGTTCTCCCTGTGTCTTCAGTGATTATAGGTCTTGGCCTTCCTGTCTTGTTAAACAATATAAAACCGTGCTGAGATAACTACTTAGGCTTATCAGTGACCTCTTTTCCCGAGACGAGGCTTTTTGTATTTCTAGTCTCCACTTACATAGAATATTAGTCATCTAAGACATTATCTTTTTAGGGTGATCATGGCTTTAAACAGTCCAGAGACACTGAAGAGAGGCTCAAAGTTATCCCCAAATTTTGTTTTCCCGACTCAAAGGACTGGGTGCCAACCTCAGAACTCAAGAGGTAAATATGCTCCTTTATCTGATTTCTGTTTGTTGGAACTGCAAAAGTAGAATCAGAATGTTTGCAAAAAGAGTAGAGCCAGCAGTTAAAGCTACGTGGACACTGTGGCAGGTCAAGGATGCTGTGGGAGGAAAGGAAGAAACAGAATTAGAACATTTCCTATGTGAGTACAGAAAAGAAAAACATGGAATAGTTTCAGTGTCAAAGGGAAAATGAGTTTGAGAATCTCTGTAGCTTGCCAGTTCCGGGTGGGGAGAGGGGCGGCGGGGCGGGGAATGTTCTATTTCACATACAGTCAGAAATGCCACCAAGTGGACAGAAAAAGGAAAGAAGACTTGAGCTTTGGGACTCTCCTTAGAAGGAGCTAGAACAGAGCAACGTCTGCACCTTGTTTGTCCTTCAGGTGGACAGAAGCCACAGCGCAGGTTGTACGTTCCCCTGTGAATCTTGTCCGAAGGGAAGCTCCAGACTGGGAGGTGTGAGTGTATTGAGAAGGGAAGAGCACGAGGGAACCGTGTTCAATCGATGAACAGTCGTCATCTCTGAATCTCAATCTCACTTTGTTCGGAACTATGATTATTGACCCTGCTATTGGGGCTGAAAAGCGTGACTCAGGGGAGGGTGTCACATGCAGATAACCTGCTGGCAGACAGCCTCCCCTGTGGCCTGAGCAGCTGCTCTGCCCTTCCGTGTCACGTCACCTCCTGTCTGAGCTGCTGTGCCTCCTGACCGGTTTGGCCTGATGTCTGCTGTCCTCTCTGAGCCATCGGTCCCAGTGCTCTCGTGCTGTCACGTGCACTGCAGCTTCTTTCACACGGCCTGGCCGCTCTGTACCTGGCTTTCCTCCCCAGCCGGTTATATGGCTTTTTCCCCTAGACCATTTGGAAGACACAGAGGAGTAAATAAAAAAGCAGAAATTATATGTCACTGGCATTCTGGTACTCAGAGATAATAACTATGTATTTTGGCGTACTTCGTTTCCATCTTTATTTTTTGGCCATATGTAGACATATGTATTCACTGTTCAGATTTAGATTCCTTTGATTATTAATGAGTGTCTGTCTCGGTCTTCTTTTTGGAAATTACCTATGCAGATCTTTTGCCCGTGTTTCCAGGGAGGAGTGGGTAGTCTCCTATTAACTTTTTTACACCAAGAATCTAATCCTTGGCCTCTCACTGTTCCGTAGGACCTCTCAGGCCTAAATGGAAGAATTTGGAAGGACAAAAGAGCTTATCCAAGTCCTTCACAGCTTACCTAAATGTTAGACTAAGTTGGGTGTTCACTAAAAGGAAAAGTAGGCTTGATTACTAGCTAGAGTGGATGAAGAAGAACGTAAAAGTAGACAGTGGTGTCAGCATGTCTCCTACACATACATGCTCACTCCAGTGCCAGGCAAGATGTTCTCAGGCCTGGACATTCTCCCTCAGGAGGAAGGTGACTTGCGATTAATATAGTATTAATGCCTCCTCTCACATCACAAAATGACTGTTGGACAGTCCTGTTCAGTCGTCTTTTCCATGAAGAATGCCCTAAGCGATTGTTTAGATTTCAAACTATTAACTGTTTTTTCAGTGAAACGTTCTCCTTTGTCTTAACTGGTGAAGATGGGAGCCGGTGGTTCGGTTACTGTAAGAAGCTCTTGGTAAGTACCAGACTTGGGCTACAGGTGGTGGTGGTCAAGTCAGACTAGAAACTTCGGAAACCTTATTACTAGATGAGTTTGAGGGCTCCTTAATGATCTGTGTATTAAAGAGGCTATTTGGGGCGCCTGGGTGGCTCAGTCAGTCAAGTGTCAGCCTTCAGCTCAGGTCATGATCCCAGGGTCCTGAGATCGAGCCCCACATCGGGCTCTCTGCTCAGTGGGGAGCCTGCTTCTCCCTCTCCCTCTGCCTGTCCACCCCCACTCATGCTCCTGTTCTGTCTCGCTCTCTCTCAAGTAAATAAATAAAAACTTAAAAAAAAAAAGGTACGTTAGCTTTAAATAGTAACAGCAAGATTGGAGTTAGCCAGTGTTCCAGAATAAGAGGGTTATGGACTTTTATTTATGTGTTTGTTTGCTTGTTTTTTATTTGTTTGTAGTAGATGAAGAAACCAATGACAGAGTGGCTAGAGATCAGTCTGGGTCTGTCCGCGGGATGGACTGCTGTGAGCCAGTCGTCAGAGCTCTGAGCTACTTTGTTCTTGCTTAGGTGCCCCCACTAAAGCTGGGATAAGTTGTGCTGTCACATTTTAGTGTTTTCCCATCCATCTTTCAGTGTTCAGTGAGCATGAGATCCTTGGTTCCTGCTCGGTACTGAAGACCACCAAGAGCGTGTTCATAATTTCCATGAACAGGCTTGTGAGGCTTCATGGTTGCTTTGATGTTCTTTTCTTCTAGCCGGAAGGCAGAGGGAAGCGACTTCCTGAGGTCTACTGCATGGTTAGTCGCCTCGGCTGCTTCAACCTTTTTTCCAAGGTGAGTTCAGCTTGAGCCCTGGGGAAGATGCTGTTTTTTCTGGGCTCTAAAGAAATTTTTATCTCTGATGTTGTCACAAGGCAATGTTCAGTGATGTGGCCTCTAACATACGACTTTAGGAAGGGTTCTCAGTAGGAGATTAGAGCCGCAGGTTTACATTCAGGTCTCTAATCCAGGTGCTGTTGTCTTGTCATCCTGTTTGGTTTGCTAAACCTCCAAGCTTCAAGGAGAGCATAGCCTGAAGCTCATCTTGTCTCCTGCCTCTCCCAGACCCCACACGGCAAGATATGATTGTCAGTGTCAACGAAAGGGGCTCCTCTTCTACAAACGAGTTGATTTATTTGAGTAACTTTTCTTGGGGTTGTCAAGATACTGCAAAGACATATGATGCCTTTAATGGACATGTATTCATTGCAGAAGCTTATCGGTCTTAAGATCTTCTGATGTGATTTTCAAGTTTGTGCATCACGTCTGGCAGTTCCTTATGCTTTTGAGTCCCTCAAACACTAACATATGTTGCGTGTGTAGATTCTGGATGAAGTAGAGAAGAGAAGAGAGATGTCTCCAGCCCTGGTTTACCCGTTCATGCGAAGTGTCATGGAAGCTCCTTTCCCAGCTCCTGGACGTACCATCACAGTTAAGAGCTACCTCCCTGGGGCTGGTGATGGGGTAAGTTAGCTCATTTTGAAAAGGTTTGATAGACACCAAAAAGCAGGCCTTATACCAACAGGCAAAGTTTCCAGAAACCTCACAGCATAATTTTCCCTTTTCCATAAACTGTACAGGATAGAAATGTCCGATTGATCTGTGAGATAGTGGACCCTAGACCTAGGAGCCAGAGATTTCGGTCACTTCTAGAATGAGCCCCTTCCTAATAATTTCAGCATGATAAATGAAGATGATACATGCTATGGTCAGGTGGGATAAAAGCTTTTTTTAAGATTTTATTTATTTATTTGAGAGAGCACAAATAGGGGGAGCAGCAGGCAGAGAGAGAGAAGCAGGCTCTCTGCTGAGCAGGGAGCCTGACATGGGGCTCGATCCCAGGATCCTGGGATCATGACCTGAGCCAAAGGCAGAAGCTCAACCGACTGAGCCATCCAGGCACCCTGGGATAAAAGATTTTATCAGAAATTTACAGCACAAAAGCAAGGTATTGGGGGGGGTACCTGGCTCACTCAGTCGGTAGAGAAAACCATTCTTGATCTTGCAGTGATGAGTTCAAGCCCCATGGTGGGTGTAGAGATTACTTAAAGAAATAAAAATTTTTTAAAAATCATATTCATGATAAGGTTATTAGGTCTTGGCATTAGTGGAGGCAGTTCACAAGCTCTGTAGCAAAACCTGTATCCTGAATTTAACCTGTGAAAGAATGACAGGATCCACTGATGTTGCCAGGGGTCGTTTTCCAGTCTGAACTCCCCTGATTCAGATTCTTTCATTTCAGTCCATTGAACTCTGCCGACCACTGGATTCCCGACTGGAGCATGTTGACTTTGAATGTCTCTTTAAGTGCCTGAGTGTGTGCCATCTCATCCGGGTCTGTGCCTCCCTCCTGTTGGAACGGAGGGTAATCTTTGTCGCTAACAGCCTAAGGTAAGAAATGCATAAAATGTCACTTCCTACTGGTATTTTACTTGTTCTCAGTATTTTAAAATTTGGGCATATTCGGGGCACCTGGGTGGCCTATGGGTTAAAGCCTCTGCCTTCAGCTCAGATCATGATCCCAGGGTCCTGGGATTGAGCCCCGCATTGGGCTCTCTGCTCAGTGGGGAGCCTACTTTCCCCCACCCTCTGCCTATCTGCTTACTTGTGATCTCTGTCTGTCAAATAAATAAATAAAATCTTTTTTAAAAAATTGGGGCATATTCAAAAACTGAAGATGTCGGTTACCTAATGCCATATGGACATAGATAATTCCAAATGATAAATAATCCTAAAGCTGTTTGCATTAGGCTATAGCAGTGACTTTGGGATTGCAAGTAATTTATCTTTATAAATGTGTTTTACTTAAACTGTTGTTAAAAATTCAGCATAGGGAATATAGTCAAATTCAGCATAGGGAATATAGTAATAGCGTTATAAGGTGACAGTAGCTATGCTTATAAGCACAGCATAATGTATGGAGACTTTGAATCTTGATGTTTACACCTGAAAATAATGTAATGTGGGTCAGTTATACTCAGAATTTTTTTTTTATATTTTTTATTTATTTATTTGACAGACAGAAATCAGAAGTAGGCAGAGAGGCAGGCAGAGAGAGAGGAGGAAGCAGTCTCCCCGCTGAGCAGAGAGTCCGACGCGGGGCTCGATCCCAGGACCCTGGGATCATGACCTGAGCCGAAGGCAGAGGCTTTAACCCACTGAGCCACCCAGGTGCCCCTCAGAATTTTTTAAAATAATTGTTATTGCTTTTCTAAATACACACGAATTTTTAGCAACATAATTTATGGCAAAAAGCTGGTTAAGACTAAAATTTTTCAGGGCGCCTGGGTGGCTCAGTGGGTTAAAGCCTCTGCCTTTGGCTTGGGTCGTGATCCCAGGGTACTGGGATCAAGTTCCACATTGGGCTCTCTGCTCAGCAGGGAGCCTGCTTCCCTCTCTCTCTGCCTGCCTCTCTGCCTACTTGGGATCTCCGTCTGTCAAATAAATAAATAAGATCTTTTTTTAAAAAAAAAAGACAAATTTTTCAGTAAGTTAACTTAAAAATTTTAATAAAATATTTAAAATTAATGAGTAACCACAGCATCATTAATCTGTGATCAGTGATCACTAAGTGGGGTCAGTTTATAATTCTGTAACATAATATCTGAACCATTCTCCATGCATTGCTCAGTATGTGACACCATTTGCTTTCCCTCTGGCTAGCACCCTGTCCAAATGTGGCCATGCTGTGGTTGCCACACTGTATCCATTCACCTGGCAGCATACCTACATTCCAGTCCTCCCAGCATCTATGATTGACATCGTGTGCTCACCCACCCCATTCCTTATTGGAATCCTGTCTTGCTCCTTACCACAGCTTCAGGACCTACCCATTGAAGAGGTGAGATGGGAGAAATAGTACGTATGGAAAAGACAGGGCACTGACAAATGAAAATGAATCACTTTCAAGAATGATGGAGCTGGGGGTGCCTAGGTGGCTCAGTGGGTTAAGCTTCTGCCTTCAGCTCAGGTCATGATCTCAGGGTCCTGGGATCTAGCCCTACATAGGGCTCTCTGCTCAGTGGGAAGCCTGCTTTCCCCTATCTCTCTGCCTACTTGTGATCTCTCTCTCTCTCTCTCTCTGTCAAATAAGTAAATAAAAATCTAAAAAAAAAAAAAATAGGAATGATGGAGCTGGGGATACCTGGGTGGCTCAGTCGGTTAAGTGTCTGCCTTCGGCTCAGGTCATGATCCCAGGGTCCTGGGATCAAGTCCCACCTTGGGCTCTCTGCTCAGCGGGGAGTCTGCTTCTCCCTCCTCCTCTCCCTCTGTGATCTCTTTCACTCAAACTTTCTCTCAAATAAATAAAATCTTTTAAAAAAAAGAATGATAGAACTGTCATTAATATTAATACATAATTATTATCTATATTATGCTATCATGTTTTTGTATTGTTTTATTGAGAAAATTCTGTAGTACACATGAATCTGAAGTTGTATCTTATTTATAGTAGTGTGCCTTGGGCTCATTCTTGTGTTACTCTGAAGGGTAGGTCTTTTTGTTTGTTTAAGTCAAATACAAGAACAACTCTGGGTTAACTTAAAAAATTGTTTCAGGGGCGCCTGGGTGGTTCATTAGGTTAAGCGTCCAACTATTGATTTTTGACTCAGGTCATAATATCAGGGTTGTGAGATCAAGCCCCAGGTTGGGGGCTTAAGATTCTCTCTCTCTCTCCCTCTCCCTCTGTCCCTCCCCCCCACCAATTGTTTTAAATATAATACACATATAGAGAAGTGGCCAAAACAAAGTGTACAGCTCAGCAAATTCACAAAGTGCTTATGTAACCATGTTGGAAAAGAATGGAAGCATCACAGCCACGGAAACAGTGCCAGCACCTTGAGAAGTCTCCATCATGCCACCTTCTACACTGTTCTTTCCTCACAGCCCATGATAGGTAACCACTGTCTTCACCTTTATGGTATTCATTTACCTGTTTTTCTTTTTTAGTTTTACATCCTAGGCATTTACTCCTAAACAATGCAGTTCAGCTTTGCCTGGCTTTATGCTTGTTATAAATGGACTCACGTATATATTGTCTGGCTTCTTACCATGATGTCTGTAAGATTTATCCATGTTGATGAGTTTAAGAGTCATTCGATCATTCTAACCCTGGGTGGTATTCCACTTTGTGAATGTACCACAGCTTTTTATCCATTCTACAGATGATGGACATTTGAGTTGTTTCCAGCTTAGGGTTATGATGACTTATGTACGACCCTTAGCACATATGTGCTTGCAGTTCTAAAGTATATCCTTGGGCTTGCTGGGTCATAGGGTAAGTGTATCTTCAGCCTTAGTAAATAAAGTCAAACTGTTTTCCAAAGTAGTTCTGCCAAGTTAAACCCCTCTCCACCGATGTACAAGCGTTCCTGTTGTCCCGCACCCTTGCCAACACTTGTTATCATCAGTTTGTGTAATATAGCCTATCTGGTGAATGTGTAGTGGTATTCTCTTTTTGGTTTAATTTGAATTCCTGATTACTCTTGGGGGTGAGCATCTTTCTGTGTTTATTGGCCATTCAAATATCCTCTCTTAAAAATTCATCATCTATCTTTCTCCTGGTTGGTTTACCCTCATTGATTTGTAAGAGGTATTTTATATTCTGGATATCAACCTCTTTGTGGCATGTCTTTTTATTCTCCAAAATGGTGTTTTTTAATGCATACAAGTTCTTCATTTTAACATAGTCAAAATTATCAATCTTTTCCTTTATGGTTAGTGTGTTGTTTTATTTTATTTTATTTTATTTTATTTTATTTTATTTTAGTGAGCTGTTTATGTTTTTCTTTATATTAACTGCATGGAGATATCCTCCTATATTATCTCCTGGACACATTGGTTGCTTTATTACTGTGCCTTTAATTTTTTATTCTGAATCCCAGGACTTGTTTTTTTTATGTGTATGATTGGAGGTAGGGGTTATTTTTTTTTTAATATAGATAGGTAACTATCCTAGTACCATTTATTGGAAAGATTGTTCTTCCCTATTACCCACCTTTTTTATATTGAGCTATAATTGACATATAACATTGTTTTAAGGTTTAGGTGTACAACATAATGGTTTTATAGATGTAAATGTTGTGAAATGATTACCCCAAAAAGTAACACCTTACATAATTACAATTTTTTGTTCTTGTGATGAGAACTTTTAAGATCTGCTCTCTAAGCAACTTTCAGATAGACAGCACAGTATTGTTCACTGTAGTCACTGTGCTATACACTGTGCTTTATCTTATTTATAAATAAGATAAAAATTTTATCTTATTTATAAGATAAATAAATAGCTTATATATCTTATAACTGACAGTTCATGCTTTTCCACCACCTTCACTCATTTCACCCATCACCCACCCACCCCCACCTCTGACAACCACCAATCTGTTCTTTGTATCTATGCGTTCAGGTTTTTAGATTCCACATATAAGTGAGATCAGACATAATTTCTTTTACTCTGCCTGGCTTATTTCACTTAGCATAGTGCCCTCTAGGTCTATCCAAGTTGTCATAAATGACAGAATTTTTTACATTTTTATGACTGAATAATATTGATATTATGCATATAATATGAATATTATATATATATATATCATATCTTCTTTATCTGTTCAACTACCAATGAATACTGAGGTTTTGTCTTTATTTTAGCTTTTGTAAATAATGCTGTAGTGAACATGGGGGTGGAGATATCTTTTCAAGATAGTAATTTCTTTCTTCTTCTTCTTCTTCTTCTTCTTCTTCTTCTTCTTCTTCTCCTCCTCCTCCTCCTCCTCCTCCTCCTCCTTCTCTTCTCTTCCTCTCCTCCTTCCCTGTCCCTCTCCTCCCCCTCTCTCCTCCCCCTCCTCCTCCCCTTCTCCTCCTTCTTTCTTCTTCTTCTCCCCTTCTGCCTCCTCCTCCTCCTTTCTTCTTCTTCTTCTCCTTCTTCTTCTGATAAATGCCCAGAAGAGGGATTGCTGGATCACATCCACATAGCAGTTCTATTTTTTTTTTAGATTTTATTTATTTATTTGACAGACAGAGATCACAAGTAGGCAGAGAGGCAGGCAGAGAGAGAGGGAGAAGCAGTCTCCCTGCTGAGCAGAGAGCCCGATGCGGGGCTCGATCCCAGGACCCTGAGATCATGACCCGAGCTGAAGGCAGAGGCTTCAACCCACTGAGCCACCCAGGCGCCCCAGCAGTTCTATTTTTAATTTTTTGAGGACCTCCATACTGTTTTCCATAGCAGCTGTACCAGTTTGCATTCCCAGCAGCAGTGCACGAGGGTTCCTTCGTCTCTACGTCCTCACCAACACTTGTTATTTCTTGTCTTTTTTGATAATAGCCATTCTGACAGATTGAGGTGATATTTCATTGTGGTTTTTTTTGTTTTTTTTTTTTTTAAAGATTTTTATTTATTTATTTGACAGACAGAGATCACAATAGGCAGAGAGGCAGGCAGAGAGAGAGGAAGAAGCTGGCTCCCTGCTGAGCAGAGAGCCCGATGCGGGGCTCGATCCCAGGCCTGGGATCATGACCTGAGCCGAAGGCAGAGGCCTTAACCCACTGAGCCACCCAGGCGCCCCTTCATTGTGGTTTTGATTCGTATTTCCCCAATGATCGGTGGTGTTGAGCATCTGTTCATGTGCCTCTTGTTCGATTTGCCTGTTTTTGGAAAAATGTCTGTTCAGTTCCTCTGCTCATTTTTTAAAGTAAACCCTCCTCCCAATGTGGGGCTCGAACTCATGATCCCGAGATCAAGAGTCATACACTGCACGGACTGAGCTAGCCAGGGGCCCCTGCTGTACTCATTCTTAATAGAATTGCTTGGCATTTTGTTTGTTTTGTTTTGTTTTGCTGTTGAGTTCTATGAGTCCTTTGTATATTTTAAATATTAGCCCCTTATCAGACATGTAATTTGCAATATTTTCTCCCATTTTGTAGGTTTTCTTATTATTTTTTTGATGATTTTGATAGGGATTACTATTGAACCTCTGAATTACTTGGAATAGTGAGAAAATTTTAACAATATTCTTCTCATCTGCAAGCACAGAATATTTTTCCCCTTGTGTTTTTCAGTTTCTTTCATCAGTGCTTACTGTTTTCAGTGTACAGATGTTTTGCTTCCCTGGTTAAATTTATTCCTAGGTAGTTTATTCTTTTTGATGGAGTTGGAAATGGGATTGTTTTCTTAATTTCTGTTTCAGATAGTTCATTGTTAGTGTATAGAAATGCAGCTGAGGGGTGCCTGGGTGGCTCAGTGGGTTAAGCCTCTGCCTTCGGCTCAGGTCATGATCTCAGGGTCCTGGGATCGAGCCCTGCATCGGGCTCTCTGCTCTGCGAGGAGCCTGCTTCCCTCTCTCTCTGCCTGCCTCTCTGCCTACTTGTGATCTCTCTCTGTCAAATAAATAAATAAAATCTTAAAAAAAAAAAAAAAAGAAATGCAGCTGATTTTGTGTTAATCTGAGCCATCCAGGAGTCCCTGAACTTAATTTTGTTTAACACTATTTCCATTGCCTGAGAGAATCAGTAGTAGTGTGATCTAGTAGTGCCTAATGTATGTGTCTGTGAATGTCTCTGGTTTAACCAACCTGGCTGCTTGATCCCATAGGTGCTGATAGTTGATCTCTGTGCAGACAAGTTCTTACAGGAGGTAAGTGACAAATGAGCTGATTACATAATGGATGAGGATAATTGGACAGAAAATACGTGAAGTACTTGGAAAAGATGACTCAGGCAAGACTTTTAGTTCCTACACATGCTTGACACTGTGGCCAATCATACAGGATTGACCTGAAAATTGGGTTAGGTTTATAGCTATCTCTCCCAAAGAAGGAAGGAGGAAAGAGATTAAATGTCATTATCAAAAGAGGTAACCCTCCTTTGACGTCCAGATGGGTTGGTGTATATACCTCTAATTTAATTGAATTTAACAAGCATTCAGCACTGATTATTTCCAGTTACTCTGTTAGAATCTAAAAGTGAGTAAGACATAGTTTGAGCCCTCAGACCTTATAATCTAATGATGGGAAGGGGGAGCAGATATAGCTATAAAATTTTAGAAACAGCGTCATAGAAATGTCTACAGGGTAAAGTAGGGACAAAAAAAATAGTCATTTATTGTGGGTATTGAAAGTGGAAGGGAGAGTTAGCAAAGCCTTCTTAGAGCAAGCACTCTATGTGGAACCTGTATATAAGTTTGTGAGCACTGAACACAGGGTGAAAAGAACGTTTCCCAAGACTTTGTCTCCTTTCAAAATCAATTAGCTCATAAATTACTTGTGGATGATCCTTGTAATACAGCATAAGACTTGCAGATGAGAGATGCTTGGTGGAAAGGTGCCAGAAAATGTCATAAGACATATTTATTTTCTTAATGTAGTTAAGACAATTAATATATGTGTACCATCACCATACTGAATTGTGCTCAATGTAGGGAAGGAAGGTTCAGACTGAGTCTTTAGCCAGAATGTATACAAAGTCACCTGTGGAATTTTGGGGACCTAATTAGCATATGTTGGAGACTTTCTCTCACAGCTCAATTTCTTCTCTTAAGGTATCTGATGAGGACGAAATTCTACCTCCTAAACTCCAAGCTGCCTTGATGCAGATTTTGGAAGAACGGAATGAAATCTTGGCTCAGGAGCAGAATTTTTCACCAGGTAGGAGATAAGATGGTCTGAGGACTCAAGGTCAACACAGTAAATACTGACAGGACGCCCAGCACCTTGCTGAAAGATGTGCAGGAGTAAGCCATTGCTTAGGATGTGGGGAGCTTAGAATCAGCTTCCTCGCCACCCCTCCGATGTGCTAGTCCCCATCTATTTCAGTACTTGGACACTTGCTGTGTTCCAGTTCTGGAATGCTATTCCCTGGGATGGCCACGTGGCTCCTGCTCTTTTTTCCTGCAGGTCCATGCTCACACGTCACTCAGTGAGGCCTTTCCTGACTGTCCTTTTAAAATTGTACCCATTCCTGGATGGCTCGCTCATTGGGTGTCTGCCTTTGGCTTGGGTCATGGTCCCAGGGTCCTGGGATCCAGCCCCGCATCGGGCTTCCAGCTTGGTGGGATGCCTGCTTCTTCCTCTCCCACTCCCCATGCTTGTGTTCCCTCTCTTGTTGTCTCTCTCTGTCAAATAAATAAATAAAACCTTTAAATAAAATAAAATAAAATAAAATAAAATAAAATTGTACCCATTCTCTTAATGCTGTCACTCCACTTCCCTGCCCTTAATTTCCTCCAGGGCTTTTATTGTTGTCTGATTTGCTAGCAACATCAGGCCCATGAGAGCAGCGACAGTCTGTTTTGCTTTATCTCCAACACTTTAAACAATAGTCAGTAAATAGGTATGGGATAAGTATTTGTTGAATAAGGGTGAAAAATATTTACTGAGCTACTTACTCTGTACCAGGCCTTGTGCTCAACACCTAGCATACATCTTATTTCATCCTTGTAATAGCCTTATGAAGCAGGTCTCATTATTTAATCCCCCTTTTTTACAGATGAGAAAACTACGGCTGTTTACTGGGGGGGAACATTAAGGGAGGAGTAGGTTCAGAGAAATAATTAAAAGTTCAGTTCTGAATATTGAGACACCTATTGGATGTCCAATACATAGCAGACATTCAATTAGAGATAACAAGTAGGCATTCCTATACGTGAATTTGGGATTCAGGGGAGAGATTTGAAATAAAGACATACCTTGAAAAGGTGCTGTTTTTTTTTTAAATGTGTTTTTATTTATTATTATTACATATATATATTTAAAGATCATTTAATTATTTGAGAGCGAGTGAGAACAAGTGGGGGGAGGAGCCCAGGGAGAAGGAGCAGCAGACTCCCTGCTGAGGAGTCTGGGGCTTGATCCCAGGACCCCGAGATCATAACCTGAGTCTACAGCAGACGCTTAACTGACTGAGCCACCCAGGCACCCCTAGAAGTTGCTGTTTTAAAGCTGTGGGACAAGATGAAGTAACCCTATAGAGTGAGTATAGATAGAAAATGACAGATTTAAGGGTTGAACCCTGAGTTGGCTGGTAATGGTGTGGTCAGATTTCCAATGTTTGGTAGTAGGGAAAAGGCAGAGGATCCAGCAAAAAGTGATTACAAGAACAGCTAGTGAGGGGTGCCTGGGTGGCTCAGTGGGTTAAGCCGCTGCCTTCGGCTCAGGTCATGATCCCAGGGTCCTGGGATCGAGTCCCGCATCGGGCTCGCTGCTCAGCAGAGAGCCTGCTTCCCTTCCTCTCTCTCTGCCTGCCTCTCTGCCCACTTGTGATCTCTCTCTGTCAAATAAATAAATAAAATCTTAAAAAAAAAAAAAAAGAACAGCTAGTGAAGGGGGAGAAAAAACCAGGGGAAGTAATATTAGAGAAGTTGAGTGAAGAACGTATTTCACAAAGGAAAGTAAACAGTTATTTCTAATGCTACAGAGAGGTCAAGCGAGATGAAGACTGAGGATTGGTGAATTTGACAATGGGAAGAGCTTAGAGACCTTGGTAGCAGCAGATTCAGTGAGATGGTGGGAAGAAAGCAAGATTGGGGAAAGTTCAAGAGAGAATTGGAAGGGCATTCAGCTTTGTGAAATTTTAATGGAATTATAAAGGGCCAAGAATAGTTAAGTAAAAGAACAACATTGAAGGGGCTTCCCTCTGAAACATCAATTAATCATGAAGTCATAGTAATTAAGACTGTTTGGTTTTGGTTCAGAAATAAATAGAGCAAGGGAAGGAACGTGGTACACATGCATAAGGAAACTTAATTTGTGTCAGCACCAGCATTGCCTATCAGCAGGAAAAGAATGAACCATTCAGTAACCAATAGTAAGGCAATTGGTTTTCCATATGAGAAAAATGGATAGGAACTATACCTCACCCTACACACAAAACTAATTCTAAGGAATTCAAGTTTTAAATGTTAAGAGTAAGGACTCCCAGCTGGTAAAAAAGAAAGGATTAATTTGACACTTAAATTTTTTAAATTTCTAATCATTGAGGAATACCATGAAAAAGAAAAAACAAGCTACAAACCAGGTGAAGATACTTTCAACAAATACAACCACAAAGGAGTAGTATCCAGAATTAATTTTTAAAAATTCTTAAAATGCAATTTCAATAATAAAAAGATGAACAACCCAATCGAAAAATGGGGAAAAGATACAAACAATCATTTCACCAAAGAGGAAACATGAAAGGCCAGTAAATCTAAGGAGAGATGTACAGCCCCGTCAAAATCTGGGAAATGTAAATTAAAACCACAGTGAGATACCATTTTATACCCACCATACTGGCAAAAGTTAAAAAGTCTGACAATGTCAGGAGTTGGTGAGAATGTGTAAGTTATTCCAGCTGCTTTGGAAAAATAATTGGGCATCATCTAGTCAACTTAAAGGTGTATATATCCTACAACCTGACAATTCAGGTTTTAGATATATACCCCAGAGAAACTCTGGCACATGATAATTAGGGAACAGGTAAATAATTTTCAAAGTAGCAGCATTTTACGTGATAGCAAAACCTAAAAACAACCGAACTGTTCATTGGCAGGAGAATATAGCATTAAAAAAATATATTAAAAACATATATTGACTAAAACAGTAAGTTGTAGAAGAATATGTTTTATGTAATGTTCAAAGATGTACAAAACCTAATAGTCTGTTATGGGAGCTGGCTATGTATATATGCACTGGAACTGTAACCTAAAGCAAGGAAAGGACAAATCCAGTATCACTGATAATGGTTGCCCTCTATTGGAGAGTAGGGGGAAGAACACCTCGGAGAGGGCATTATTGAGGGAGCATGTGAGATACCCTTGATATTCTGTTTGAAGCTTTGTGGTGGTACTGATGTGTTCATTTCACTAGTGACCTTATGGAATATTTATACATGTAAAAGAATATATGCTACATTTACGTTAAAACAGAAACAATTAAAGAAAAGTTATAGAAGTGCATAATTTTTTTAAAAAGGGAATTAGATTAAGAAAGGGTACAGCAGATATAAACAACTCTTCCAAGAAATTTGGATGTAAAGTGGGAGAGAAATGGGAAAGTAACTGGAAGGGGATGGGAGACTGGGGCAAAAGTGTTGATGATAAAAGTGATGGACCGTGGATCCTCAGCTGCAGAAGGAGAGACGAGAAGGATATCTATTGAACAAAATAGCAAAAATCTAGTTTGTAATCAAATGGAATGCCAGAAGAGACCTTAGAGATCACCTAATCAGCCCCCTCATTCTGCAGATATAGGAAGAGACCAACCAGGGGTAAAGTGAGTTGCACACCATTACACCATCGCTTCATGGTGGAACTCTTACTACACCTAGGTCCCTGATTCCCAGTCCAGTATGGAACCCATGGAAAGAGCAAGCGACATGACATGGTGAAAGGGGAAAAATACTATTAGGAATGGGAGAAAAAAGAGGAGTCTAAGTTGAATTTGAGGTCTGAGCCTGGAACATGAAAGGCAATGTATTTCATGTTACAGTGGTTAAGGAGCACCTGACTTGGGAGTCTGGCAGCTTCTGTACCCTGTACCAGATGAGCTAACCCTGGAGAATGTCTTTGTTTTGAGTGTCAGTTTCCTCAGCTGTAAAAAGGAAATAATGCTTACTTCACTGGATTATTTTATTTATAAAAGCTCTAAATGCAGTGGTTGACAATATCTTAAGCACTAAATAAATTATTATGGAATAATCATTGCTTATGAAATGAGAAAGTTGAGAGAGAACTGATTTGGTGGAGAAATAGAATGAATTTGGTTTCACACATGTATTGTTTATTTATTCGATTCATATTTTACTAATCTCCAAAGGCCCTGATTTGAATTTTAGACAAATGGAATTTAAGTGCTGATGAGACAACCAAATGATGATTACCCATAGGTAGCCTGAAAATGTAGAAGGTGAGTCCTAGTGACTTATATAAGGGCTAGAGACGTAGGGTTGCGAATTATCAACATGGAAAGCCAGCTCCCCATCTCTATACTAGTTAGCTCTTTAGGGATGGGAATGCTGAAGAGAGGTGGTCTGAGACCATGCTTAGGAAAAGGAAGAAGAGGCAAGAGAAATACAAATGTTTGGTCATAAAAGCAGGTGAGGAATCCGGAAATCAGGAGAGTATAAAGTTGTGGGAGACGAGGAATGAGGAGAAGGTTAACACAAATGCAGCATAGAGTTTAAAGGCGAGACAGATAGAAAAGCAGATTAAATTTGGCTGGCTCTCCCTGGTGGCCTTTGAAAGAGCAGTTACAGTGAGATCACAGATGTGCAGGCCAGGCTGAAAGATGGAACAGGAGTGTATGTGGTTAGAAAATCAAAGTAAAAATATGAGCTAATAGTGTTTTGTTGGTTGTAGAGTGTGCAAGGAAGCTAAGAATGAGGATTCTCAGTCCTTCAGTCTGTGATTTCTTATGCATCACTTTCATAACAATTTCCCGTAAATACGAACTTAGGGTTTTTTCTTTTCTTTCTTATTTTTCTTATTTTGCAACAGATGTGACACTCAACTCTCTGGTGTCTGAGGCATTTGTGAGGTTTTTTGTGGAGCTAGTGGGACATTATTCTTTGAGCATGACTGTCACTGAGCGTGGAGAGCGTGTATTCCAAAGGGAACCATTCCGTAAATCCCATACCTCCCGAAGTGTACGCCACTTCCTGGATCTCTTCATGGAAACACAGATGTTTGCCGGCTTCATCCAGGACCGAGAGCTTCGGAAAAGTGGGGTGAAAGGTCAGTTTCATCATAAAGTTCTCCCCCTGTATTTAGTGAGCCCTTTGAGGGTTTGAAAATAATATAAACAACAACAAAAAAAATGGTATAAAGCTACAAGGGCTCAAAATCTGAGTTATTATGGAAAATAATTCTTTTTATAATTTTGTTTTAGCTATGGAAGCACATTGGTAGTAAGCTGCAGAATTTTATTTAAGTGATTTTTAGTAAGTATTGGACAATTTCACCAGCGTGAGTTTTCCTTGTAGGTTTGTTTGAGGTCCGGGCCCTCCAGTATTTGGAAACAATTCCAGAGTCCGAGCCCAGTGGGATGAATAAAATTTTGCGGAGTCTTGGTGAGTTGTTACGTTTTCTTGTTAAATAATGTGACTAAAAAACCTTTTGCAGAAACTGTGCCTCATCACAAAAGCTTTATAATCAAATCAACAATATAACCTCAAATAGGCTGACCAGAAACCATGACTGTACTTCCGAATTGTTTTGGAGAAAAAGAAATCTTTCTCAGAGGTGGGGATTCTTCCATCAGAGTTGTCCTTGGGTCTGTTTTCCTCAGATAACATGCGAATTTGCATATCATAATTATTAATCTTTTCTAGGTCACATCACTTTGAGAATCTCATAAAAACTGGATCTTTGTCTCAGAAAAGTATGCTAGAACATACAAATTTGCATATAATTATAGAGTATTCATGGACCCTCCTGAAACCCATCCGTGGACTCCAGATTAAAAACACCTTTTAGGGGGGCACCTGGGTGGCTCAGTGGGTTAAGCCTCTGCCTTCGGCTCAGGTCATGATCCCAGGGTCCTGGGCTCGAGCCCCGCATCAGGCTCTCTGCTCAGCCTGCTTCCCCTTCTCTCTCTACCCGCCTCTCTGCCTACTTGTGATCTTTCTCTCTGTCAAATAAATAAATAAAATCTTAAAAAAAAAAACACCTTTTAGAGGTGCCTGGGTGACTCAGTTAGTTAAGCAACTGCCTTCTGCTCAGGTCATGATCTTGGGAGTCCCGGGATTGAGTCCCGTGTTGGGCTTCCTGCTCAACAGGGAGTCTGCTTCTCCCTCTGACCTTCCCCTCTCTAATGCTCTCTCTCAAATAAATAAAATCTTAAAAAAAAACCACCTGGTTTAGAGGTCATCTGAGGCAAAAGAGGATTTCCTCCAAGTCTAATTTTACACTTCAGAAAGAAACACAGATGTTTCTGATTTTTCAATTATAATAATTAACTTTTTATTATCCTTTGTGATATTGGGGAACAATGATGTGGTAGCCCAAAACAAGGAAGAACTATATTCCATGCTGTTTATATTGGTCCTTGAAATACGTAACCCCTGGTAACTAGACTTGTCATAGGGGTCATTTTGTAGTGTATAAAAAATTTTCAAACCACTATGATGTACACCTGAATCTAATAGGACATTGTATGTCAATTTTAATACAAAAAGAAAAAGAAATACATGCCCCTAATTAAAGTAAGGACTTGTTCTTATGCCTCGAGTTTTTATTTCATCTTTATACCATGAGGTTAGATCAAATCACTGGTCCTGAACTCTGACTACAATATTTTAATCTCTGGGGAACATAAATGAACATTTTTCCCACTGCAGGCTCCAAGAAATCCCTGGGGATCAGGCCAAGCAATTTTAACCTATAGTCAAGGTTGAAAGCCACTGGATTAGGTGAGGTCAGAGCTCTCTTCTACCTCTACAATTAGAGACATGGGGTTTGTTTATTTCTTTGGTAGTTAAACACATCACATGCTAGCTTGAGATGGCCACTCACTCGTGGGCTGTTCCAAATGACTAAGTTGTTAATCCCTTGCCTCAAATAATGTACAATAAATAAAAATGAACTAATGAGAGTTCACTCTACTTCTTTCTCCCTTTAGGAAGTAAGATGAAATTTCTGCAGAAGAAATGAAATCTTTGATAGACTCTCTCCATCTTAAACAGAAAGTGCCAAGAAAATATTTCTCTAAGAGTTGGGATGCCCTGCAGTGGCCTAAAAGATCCTGGAAAGTTGAAAAGGTTACAAAGTGGGCCTGGTCCTTGGAGGAGGATTCTCCTGTTGCTGCTGTATAATCACTGGAGGATTGTTGGGAGTAGTCTGGAACCCATGTTCTCATTACTCTGCCTCCAATTGTTCTTTTCAGTGGCTTTTTCTATTTGATTCTTGGGCTCATTCTTTGTGTTATATGCTTAGTCTGTGAAGGCACTTGTGTTTACTAGGGAAAGATTTGGTGTTGGATTTTTTTAAAAAAAACAGCTCAAAGATGAGCACAGTGAGAGAAATGCTGGATTGAAGGTACTGGGGAAGCAAGATGGATGTGCAGAGTGCACCCTACACACGTCATTCTCATCACTGAAATATCACCATGGCAGATTGAAAATTATGGGCTGTTGGAGCTGAGCTAAGGAATAGATTCCTCATATATCTCTAGTTTTTGTTTTTTTTTTTTTTTAGATTTTATTTGTTAGAGAGAGAGAGAGAGAGCACGTGGGAGCAGAGGCAGACAGAGCGTCAGGCAGAGGCAGAGGGAGAAGCAGGCTCCCCGCCAAGCAAGGATCCCGATGCGGGACTTGATCCCAGGACCCTGGGATCATGGCCTGAGCCGAAGGCAGCTGCTTAACCAACTGAGCCACCCAGGTGTCCCTCTAGTTTTTGTTTTTTAATCTAATGTTCTGTCTGAGGGAATCTAGTTATTAACACTGTTATTGAGTATCTTGTACAAGTAGACACCTTGCAGCTCCTCCTCCACATCGTAGCTTGTCAGCATTAAACTTTGTGGGAATATAGCTAACGAAAATACCCTTTCAAGGCCATGAGAACTCCTACCCCTTTTCTTAGTGTCCCCTATGTGCCATGTGTGATGTATATCTATGTCATCTTACTCAGTCTTTAAGTCAACTTCATGAGATACTTGCATCTCCATTTTATTAATGAAGAAACTGGAATTCAGAAAGGTTAAGTAACTTGCCCAGAGTTCTACAGCAGAGACAGAACTGAAGCCACAAATGTCCATTCATGAGCACAGAGAAAGTTGGTTAGTTCAGCAGATGGAAACTTGAGCTCTGTGGGATTATAGCTACTGAAAAGGTTTTCTTTTAAACTGAAGTGTACCAGAGCTGATTTTCAGCTCTGAGGACAAGGGACATCAAACTATAGGAGCCTGGATGACTCTCTTTTGGTTCCCCTAGAATTGGACTTTTTGCCCTAATTAAATTGGACTCAGACTATGAACATTTCTCGGCATTCACCACATAATCACCCTGAAACTTAATACCTAAAACAGCAGTAGTGATTAGGAGGAGGAACTTATCAATGATGGTTTAATTTTCATGGATAAATGTTATAGCAGATGTCAGTTTGTTTTCTTCAATTCCTGATGAGGGTTTTAATTGGCATAAAAATATTTATTCGAACTTAACAAAACCTTTTAAGTTGTATTATGATACAGTTTATTGAGTTGTACAGTATTGTCATTACAGCCCATTCAGTTGTGCATGAATGAACCTGAAGCAGACCCCATTTAAGACTGGTGCTATATAGTTCTTATGGATCTAGAAAATAGAACTGAGCCTATGTCTTGTTAAAAAAATGTTTAAGCATCTTACCCCAGTGGGGTTCTTACCAGACATCTCTCCTTTTGCCACTCCAATCCTGAGGGAAGAATGAGTAATTGGGAATTGTTTATAAAACGGGGGTAGGGTCTTAACGGTGGTGAACCCTGACCGTCCCTCTGTGAGGAGACCTTGCTTCAGGGATGGGGGTCCTAGTTTATCCCGGTGACCTGAAGCTGCTTCCTTTTCTTAGGTCTGTTTTATCTTGTTTTTGTAAAGTATTATGAGTTCTGGACATATTTGTAAAAGAATTGCTCAAGACTTGTATAAAATGTTTACAGATCTTTTAATGAATAAACAAAAAATTGGAGAATTTTAAATAAAGTTGCTTAAGATGTAAAGATCTTCTACTTCGCATAAATCCATAACTAGCACATTAATCTAATGATAGGGTTAGACAGTCCGTGGCCAGCATTTCTAGGCTGTTGGCAGACAAAGCCCGGGTCTTGATCGTAGACACCGGGCAGGGTATGCAGTCCGACTACCTTATTTGGCCTTGGCCTGCTTAGTGTATGGGAGCTGGGGACACAGAGCAGAGCCGGCGCACCGGCAGCCGCAGGAGTGGTTGGGAGGCAAAGAGGAACACGAGTCTATTTCCGAAAGTCCTAAAGACAAGTGAGCGGATTTAATATACGCCCCGAAGGCAAAATGACAGGATTTGTTGGAGCTGGAGTTGGTGAGCAGTTTTTAATCTCACCCTGGAGGAAAAGATCAGGTTCCTTTGTTATGTAGACCCTAAAGCTTCGCAATTTTAACTGGCTACTGGCGCCGACTTCCAGAATCTGAAAAAACTGCATTTATCCAATGCAAGTGTTCTCAGAACTAAGAATAGTGAAGGGTACAGCAAGAAGCTCAAGGGGAGAGAAAAACCGCCACAAAGAAAAAAGTTAAGGGTTGTAGGTGGAAGGTTAGGGGAGTGGGAAACCTGTATCCCTCTCCCTGCCAAATCCTACTGCCCGTTCCTCCAAAAGTTTTAAAGCATCCCGGTACCAGATACTAGTTTCCTCCAGGGAACGAAAAGTCCCAATTCCCCTCCAACTTGTTCCCGGGTGGAGGCAAAAAAGCGGAGCACACTCGGGGACAGGAAATGGAAACGTTCCGCTGATTCTAAGACTCGCGACGTGACGTCACGTCCGACCAAGACAAAATGGCAGGCCACTTCCTAGTAGCTCGGCGAGGGCGCCTTCAGAATTGACAACTGAGCATGCGTCAGAGCCAAGGCGCAAGCGACCTGTATTACGTCAGTGCGAGCGCAGGCGTAATGAAATGGGCCTGAGTTTGCGCGCACACAGAAAATTTGGGCAAGCTTCGGAATGGCGGGCACAGGCTTAGTTGCCGGAGAGGTCGTGGTAGATGCACTGCCGTATTTTGACCAAGGTTATGAAGCGCCCGGCGTGCGGGAAGCGGTGAGTTCGGGCCGGGTAGCGGATTCAGCACTCTCGGGCCCTTGGTGCTGGAAGAAGCACCTTACAAGTTGCTACCCCTCCCCGGCCCCCGTTCTCGTTTCTAGGCTGCGGCGCTGGTGGAGGAGGAAACCCGCAGATACCGACCTACCAAGAACTACCTGAGCTACCTGACGGCCCCGGATTATTCTGCTTTTGAAGTAAGTGGGACGTCTTGAGGCCACCGTATGAGCTAGGATCCTCTGACTCTTTACTTTGGATCGAGAGTCTTAGACACGTAAAAATGCATTTTAAATTCTGGCTTTAACAACTGCCTGCTTGCCTCCTACTTACTCTGTCTTATCGGTGTTCCCGGTGCATTGAAAACAGCTAGATAAGACTTCTCCGGCGTTCTGATTCTGAGACCCACTGAAGGACTTTCCGGAGCTTGGCGAACTGCCCAGCCATGCAAAACGTAGTGTGTACATTTTTCGGAGATCGGCTCCTTGCATAAATTCTCAGAGGCATCCTCGGCTAAGATCTTCTTTAAAACAAGTGATGAGGAATTTTTAATATATGTAAGCCTAGGTTCCTGAGAACCACTGGAGGGCGGCCTTTGTGTCACAGCCTAGATACTTAGTGAATGTATGTGAATGAGTGAGGTGAGAAACCATTTATAAGTAAAGTGCTCTTTAAATATTTAGCCTAGAAGTGCCCCCAAGATACTACTTAGTACTTAGGGTGTAATTAACTACATGAAATGTAAAATATCATCTCTAAATTAATAGATTCTGTTAGGCATTTTAGTATTTACATGTTTGGGGTTTTTTCTTCCCCTATTATAGGTAACCATGTATTTAAAGAAAGAATTCTGTTATTTTTAAAAAGATTTTATTTATTAATTTGACAGAGAGAAAGATCACAAGTAGGCAGAGCAGCAGGCAGAGAGAGAGGGGGAAGCAGGCTTCCCGCTGAGCAGAGAGCCCCATAGGGGCTGGATTCCAGGACCCTGAGATCATGACCTGAGCCAAAGGCAGAGGCTTAACCCACTGAGCCACCCAGGCGCCAGAAAGAATTCTATTATTAAAACGCAGTGTTTATATTGAAGTAACATGAAAAGAAAAGTTGGTCAAGTTTTAAATAGGAAGATATTCCTATGATACATCATTTTACCATGTGTTTTCTAAATGTTGTTACCCAGATATAGATGGTACCACATTAAGAAGTAGATACAGTAATGCTTTCTTATTAGATTGGCTCCCCAAAATTTCAGATAACTGCATTCAATCACAAACTTTTAAATATTTGAACCAGTTTTCCTTTTAACTCTCCTAAGTGCAACATGTATCTCCTATCTTTATAATTAGTATACTGATCATTTATTCCTTTTTCACAATAGGAATTGATAGTGTACTGGGCTCACCATCTCAGTACTGAAAACAGCTCTGTGAACTATATAACTATATGTTTATTATCCTAATTTTTTAAATGGGAAAACTGCAGCTTAGAGAAAGTAATTTGCCCAAGACCTAAACCACTCCTCAAATTTCTTTTGAAACTGCTCTTCCATTAATTCGTTTAACTATTTATGAAGGTCTTTTCTGGCTAGGAATTGGGGGACTTAACTTTTTAGTCTAATTAATATAGTTAGTCTTTCTAGTCTTAACTTTTTAGTCTAATTAATATAGTTGAAGCCCTCAAAAAATTGATAATTGCTCAGGATAACTGAAATACTACTATAGGTGAATACTTAAGCAGTTCTTTATACTCAGGGCCAGGAAATGTGCAGAACAGAAATGAAATAGGATATTGACCAAAACTTGGACCTAAAGAAGTAGAGCTCTACCATGTGTTTTTTTACTTTTTACCATGTGTGCTTTGTTTTTGTTTTTGTTTTTTTAAAGATTGTATTTTTTTATTTATTTGACAGAGCGA